TCTACATCAATAACCCACTTCTTGTAATGGCCAAAATTAAACTAATTGAATCTTTGCGCAGCATAAAACGTACGACCATTTGGTACAATGGTCTGAAAATCAGACTATTACTTACTGGCTCTATAGCTCTTAAGTCGCTTCGACAACTAGTAATGGTCGTTTTTTCCCACTTAAAGACATTTTCAAGCCCCCCTTTTTTAGGGCAGTTTTAAATACGTATTATCTTTCAAATGGCGTTGGAATTTAACCTGTTCGTTTTTTTGGCCTGAAATGGGACATAGTACCTTTAATGTCTAATGATTATCCACAATGGTTTGGGAATCATACAAAAATAATCATTTATTACATAGTCCTAGCACTCAGCGGTGTACCACAAAGAATCCATAAGGGGGAATTGGCGTCAGTTTGGGGCCAGGGCGACACAGGATGAATACTGGATTCAAGAGAACAATCACCCACCGTAGTTGGTCGATGGGAGGGTCGTATTTCATTTTATTTGTTTTGGTTTAATTTAGTTGTTGTTGTTGTTGTTTTGCTTTGCTTTTGTTTTGCTTTTAACGTGGTAGTGTCATCAATGAATGACAGACTATGTTTTGCTGTTTTTTGTCTTGTTTGATTGTCAGGCCGCTTTCTAATGTTTTCATCTTCTGCTGTTTAATGTCTTTAATGTTTGTTATGTTTGTCATAGTTATTGTCATGTGTTTGTCAAGTTATTGTTATCTCCTATTGGTAGCACGTAAACTGGGCATGGTGTTAATGACAAAATTACCACAACAATTAACAAATTGTGTGTTGCCATTATTACGTTAAACTTTGTGGGTGTCAAATCACTCAAATGTACACTTTCCCATCACTTGAAGACTGCGTCAGTGTTTTAGACTGTCATTTTCTTTAAAGTTACCTGAATTTTTGCTCGGATAAGGTGTGGAATAAGAATATTAATTACCTGTCATTTTGGCACTGTACTTGCTTTTAGGATTATTGCAGCTATACGTCAGCCTGAAGGAGTTGTATACAGAAAATGGCACTTAATCATTATATATATACGTCGTCAGTCGTGGAGAGATGTCATAAACACTTGATAAATAATATTCTACTTCGGGTCACTCACGGTGCTACAGAAAAATGTGGAATCTAGATTACTGTATCTTAGGTGAGTGGAATAAATGAGAAAGAGAGAGAGAGAGAGGTGGGAGGGAAAGAGGGCGGGGAATAGAGAAAGGGGGAGGGGGAAAAGAGCGAGTTTAGAAAGAATATATTATGATAGACCTAATGAAATAAACCAAACAAAAAGGAATAACGTTTCAATAATTACCTTTCTAGACCATGTTTCATAAAACTTGCCATCAATAACAAGTTACAATATAAGCTACTGAACTCGTGGCATTTATGTCAGCAAATTTGTCAGAGAAATTTAACATTTGTTATTGATAACAAGTTCTATGAAACGGCCCTGGTATAAACCATATAATTTTTTTAAAGACAACTGAATGGAAAAAGCGCATCATCCTACAAAAAGAAATCGCTTGTTTTTAACTGCTGGGTTGTTCAACAGAATATTTGAGGAAAAGAGAGAAAACAAAAAGGAATAACATTTGAATTATTTCCTTTCTGGACCATGTTTCATAAAACTTGCCATCAATAACCAAAATATACGTAGACATCCCTCTGATTAGGCGTTACAGAGATTTGCTTCTTGATATATTTTTTGTTTTCGATCACTCATAACGCTTCAAGGTAAAAGAAAGCTCTAAGTAAATTGCGGATAATAATATAGAAAAAAATAAAATTGCAATTCCATCGATGATTTATGTTGCTTCGTGCATGAATCATGATGATGTGAAATGCAAAGTGCGAGGTGGGGTACAGTCTGGGAAAAGCCGGAGGCATGTTTCATAAAACCATGTGATTGATTGAGGTTATATATTTTGTTAAATTTGAAAGTGTGTTGAGTTCAGGTGAGATAACATTAGCTTAATGGATCATTCCAGATGAGCAGGATTTTGATAAATCTCCTCCCACATACTCGTAACTTTCATTTTGATGCTCAGTGATATTGCTGTCAGCCTAGATACAGCTTTTAGTTAGTTATCACAATATTTATTCGTAAAAATGTAAAATTAATTAGTATTCCCTCTTCATGATTGCACTAATCATCCTGTCTACCGCCCTTCAATAACGCAACACAATTCAATTGAACGAACTATGCAAACGAATATTTGCGTAATAGGACTTTCACAACGTGTGAGATGATTAACCATGGCCGCCTCTTTTTTCGATGACCGAATATCATTCTGACTGGAGGCATGCAGGTGCTTGCCATAATTTATACCTAATGAAGTGAACTAGTTTTCAATTATGAGGCTGAATCAACCATTATTTGAGGAAAGTGGTAAACAAAATTTGACCTGGCTGAGCCAGCTACGAAATTGTTTTTGAAATTATAGATTATACAACAAAGGAAGGCCCTATAGGTGTAAAATACAAGCATGCATTAGTGTTTTTAAAAGTCGATAAGAAAGCAAGAAAATAGACTAAATGAAACTTCGCTCAAGTAAACCTTTTGCTCACGTTTTGGTTTAATTTGATTTGATTTGATTTGTCAAGTATTTTTGTCTTCTTCAGAGGTAATTTATTTCGACAATTCTTCAGTTCAACCAAATCAGCAACTTTAAAATGATTTATTAAATGATTATAAACACATTCAACAACAATGATAAATCATAAATATTCGCTTTATATTAAAGAACATTGAAGAAAAACACAATATGTGTTTTTCTTCAATGTTCTTTAATATAAAGCGAATATATATTATATAATTATACATGTATATTTTAGGTTAGGTGTAGGGAATTTGAGACCGCAGGGAAATTTAGACCACCAAGCTTGAACCCATCACTGTCTGTCCGTGTTGACTTCATATATATATAGAGCCAGGCGCGTACGCAGGGGGTGGGGGGGGGGGGGGTTTGGGGTTAAACCCCCCCCCCCCCCCTTGAGTTTTTTTTTATGTGTATGATTTTTGTGAACCCTCCCCCCCCCCTTTTGATTTTTTTTTTTTTTTTGTAATAAAAAAAAAAAAAAAAAAAAAAATTATGCCAATGGCTGACCTAAAAAAGGTGACCTTACCCCCCCCCCCCCCAACGGAACAAAATGTCAAATTTTCAAATTCCGAGACCAAAAGAAAAAGAAGAGTGTCCTCTTACCTATTCATAAAGACCTATGACTATTCCTTTTTTTTTTAAAATTGCGATACGCCGCGTTTCACTTGGCTACAAAATAACCGACCTTACTCTCAACTGTGTAAGTACATGTATAAAAGTATGCATTGATAACATGACTTGGTAATTCTTCTCCCCTATTACCAGAGCCGGAACTCTGACGATACGCTTTTCATTTTATCAACTTGACCAAAATTAGCGAATCAATTGTAAGGACCTCCTCTTTTATGAAACGCTTATCTCAGCTATACCTGGACCGGACCCCAGCACCCTAAGAGGAACGAACGAATGTAAAGAAGTAACTTCTCTGGAACTTACCGTTTTGAAAGAAGAGGATGTAGGCCTAAACTACTCTAAGTAACTACTCTAACTTGAAGATTACCGTTTTGAAAGAAGAGGATGTAGGCCTTAACGTAGGTCAACCTACATGACTATACAAACAACCACTCTAACTTATATACCTTTACGAGGGCATGTAACCAGTTTAGAGCAGGTTTGAGTAAAATATCTTGATCAACCTAAAGCCGGTCTTGGTTTGAGCGGGCATATGAAATGTTCAAATGTTATGTTCTGAAAAACGATCCCTTACTCTTCCTCTCTCTCCCCACGGAATATCACTCTTGTCTTGAGCAACCCCGGCGGTATAGCCACGAATATGAGACTTTTCCTGGGCAAAGATGCCATTAATCAGTTACATCATGACCACAATTTTGTTATCAAATAAAGAGAAGAAGTTACTAAAGAGAATACAAAACTTTATGTATGTGTAACATTTTTTATGTTTATGTAAATTATGCAAATGTGCTTAAGGGTCTCCAATTCCCTACACGTACCCTAAAATCACAAGTATAAATAGATAAATATGGCTCTAATATACAGTAAAAGGAAGTACCGCATTACAGGATTACCCATGAAAATTATGTTATTTCCAAAAGGGTCTTAGACCTTTAAATTCTATTTGAAAATTGAAATAGAAAAGTAAGACCAAACAACATTGTTGAAAATCTAGAACGTACGAGATATAATAGGATCGAACATATCTAATTGAAATTTTAGAAGTCTAGATCGAGTCAACTTTTTGGGGGGACTTGTATCGTTTTGTTAATTTTTTTCTTCTTCAATTTAATTCATAATGGAGGAAGGGTAGCAGATGCAACAAACTTTTAATTAATGAACTAAGGTTGAAATTCACATAATTTCATTCTCATAGCAATATGTTAAAAAGCAAAAGGAGGCGAAAACCTAGAAAACAAACACTTGTGTTGGGAACGCACATTACTAAGTTACGGTAATTGAGAAGAAGGGTCACTTCATCCCTCCCTTCCCGAATAGAATAAAAAGGTGGAAACATCGAGTTACGATATAAATGAGGATTTCAGAAATTGAAAATGAAATTGCTAGCAAAAATTTTTCAGGGCAATAATGTTGAACGGGAAATAAAAAGGAATAGGCCTCACTTCACATCATATAATTCCAAAGAAAATGTTCAAAAATGAATGAACAGATAAATGAATTAATTACTGAATGAATTACTGAATGAACGAATAAAATGATGAAATAGATGAATGTAAGAATGAATAAATGAAAAAAAAAATGAATAGATAAATGAATATATAAATAGATGAATAAATGATTCGACGGATAAATAAACAAATAAATATAAAAATATGACAAGGTTCTAGTACAGTATTCAGCATTATTCACAGCAAACCGTCGTAGATGGCATCATCACGAAATTGCCAGTGCTATCTATACCGTGTTCTGATTGGTCGATTGTGCCGTGTGTGATAACGTGCACGGTTTTTAAACGGCTATTTATTATTGTAAGAACCAAAGGATACAGTGCCGCATCTTCTTCCTCCAAGTCAACTCAAGTTATATGTTTGGATCCATTTCTGGCACTGTAAGTTTAAAGAATAATTTTATTTTTAGTTTGCAGTTAGATCTACTCATAACTGTAAATTAAGAGATGTTGAATACAGATACAGCTGTGAAAATACTTTTTAATCTCGCAGAATCAGCATGTTTCCTAACGCACGCATAGCTCAACCTCAGCCGTGTCCTTCGGGTGAGCTGAGCTCTCGCTCCGTCGGACGACGCGATGGGTTGTCCGGACACTAAACAATAGAAAATGTTTACTGTTGAAACTTGAATTTCACGAAGAAATGAGCATCAAATAGCACTAGCCATTATAACGTTTTGATGTCCATAATGATTATAGATCCAGATCTAGAGTCTAAGTCTTAAATTTACTTGATTTACAAGATTTAATTATGAACATGATGAACATTGCCTTTGGGTCTAACTTTAGATCTAGTCTATTGCATTGCCAATGCAATTGCAACAATTGAATGTTCATCATGACAATTGACATGTTTAATCAAACATTCAATCATGACTGATAAACCAGTACTCATGATGACACGTAAACTTTAGCTTACATTTAGCACATGCGCATTACGTTCATCCGATCTCAGCCTCATTTTCCTAAAATAAATCGGCGCTTACAAGGGCCCTTCTTATTGGCTGTCGCTGGCTGCCATTCGCTCGATGTTATAAGATATAGGTGCGAGGAGAAAGCTTGTGATTTTCTGTTTGATCCAATACCTAAATCATGATATATTTCAGTCAAACCCTTTAGTCTTTTCACTTTTTGTTACGATGTTTTCAGCATCCTTAAAAGGTTAATTATTTCACTTAAGTTTAACTTTAAGAGTTTAAGTCTTACGTAACTTTTGTATAAGTTTTAAAAATTCTCATTTTCGTCATATTTTAGGAACAAACTGGAAATTTGTACTGAATGTCTGTTGATATTTCTATTTTATGTGTGTACCAATGCCATGTGTGCGTCTGTTATGTGTGAAGTGCGACACCTGTTTTTTAAAGTATGACATGTCGGTGTATAATGTATTGGCATTGCCGTTGAAGTTAAGTTAAATAGGCCCTCTCTCACTTAAATTCAAAGCCACATAAGCGGATCGGCCAATGGGAGCGCGTATTCTAATTAAATGTGCAGTGTTTAATGCGTAAAATTCTACATGCATGAATTTGGCACTAATTAACAATTTATCTGCAACAGAAAAAAAAATCCAAGAACTACAGTAATCCAGGAATACGAACCATCACCCAATTTACGGTCATCTTCACAATTAAACCTCGTGTCTACTTCGGTGTGAAATCTTTCTTATGGTCATCGCTCTTTTCCTTGATGTTGGCTGCAAAAGGGACATGTACTAGTGTAGTGTTAGTAATGAAGCTAAGTAGTAACTACCCTAGATGTTGGACGTTCATGGTCATAAAACCTATTTGACCTAAAGTGAGGTCCAAAGGGAGAAGAATAAAGGAAGAGAAAAAGACAAATCTGATACATAAACAAAAGTACCAAAAAAAGGTAATCCCTTTACCATAATTATTAATTTTTACGTCAAATTTGGCGACAGTTGACCCTTAACATCTGATCAATAGATCTTTAAACTATAGATCTAAGAGGTAAAACTTAGACTGAGGCGTATTTTTTTTTTTTTTTTTTTTGTAGGAACTAGAGCCTTATCGTCAAAAACCAACCAGGATCCAATGTATAACTTTGATAATTTTTGTAATGTAATCGTTGTAAGGCAGCAGTATTCAAGGATTGTATAGATTTTGCATTGATCGTATTCATAGAGCGACATAAAAAGTTGGCTTGTGCAAGTCAGGAAGTGACTACAATTTCACTTTTAATGCTAGGTGAAATTCATGCCCCAACCAACGAAAAGAACATTTCTCATTGAATTCTTTCCTTTCATGTCCAGGCTCACAATGCCGGAGGAACAAGCCAAGGACATCAGTGTGCGGGTCGCCATCCGTTCCCGCCCCCTCATATCCAAAGAGGTTGCAGAGGGATGTCAGCTGTGTGTCTCCTTCACCCCTGGTGAGCCTCAGGTCATCCTAGGCAAGAACAAGGCATTCACCTTCGACTATGCCTTAAGGGCTGAGGACCCACAGGAGATGGTCTATCAGAAGGTGGTAGCGCGTCTTGTGGATGGACTTTTTAAAGGTGATTGCTAATTTCATTCCAGAAAATAACAAGAAATAGTTTCTCCTTTAAAATTTTTTTTTATTGCATACATATTTTGTTTATATAATTTGTATTTTGCAACATATTTCTTGCATCAGTTGTCACATTTTACCATCAAAACTATAATGGAGCGTTCCACTTTCCAGAGATAAATTGCACTTTCGGCTAGACTTTTTACTGGGATAAAATGATGAGGTCACAACTCACAAGTACAGTGCAAACTACTTTCCTCGTAAATAGGAGCTCCTTTTTGATAAACTAAATTATAGGAACATGTTTTCAGTATTTTATTGATGGCATATTTAAGTAATGTTTTCATTGGAGTTATTTCTTATGAATTTTCCAGTGCTCGTCCAGATCGCCATCACCCACCACTAAGGCATTTCCCCAGTGCTGGTACAACTAGCAGATGGGCAGGTATACACTAGACCAAATACCTTCAATTAAAAACAGACAGACAGTTGGATTTCTATCAGAGATATAATACAGAATGTTTCTAACATCATGCTAAATAGCTTTAATATTTTGCTCCACTTTCCCCTTTTACTGCCAAGGTTATAATGCAACGGTCTTGGCATATGGCCAGACCGGATCGGGGAAAACCTATGCCATGGGCAATGCCTACAACATGACCGATGAGTTGAAGATGGGGGTCATCCCTAGGGTCATCCAGAATATCTTCCAATTGATTGATGAGAAGCAGGACATGGAGATCGTCCTGAAGGTCTCTTACCTAGAGGTAAGTCAATTTAAACTTGTATAATGGTTTCATTCGCCCGCTCACATTACCACCTTACAATATAAAAATATATATGGAGGCCTGTGATATTATGTGTGCTCCATTATTGCTGAGGAAATGGCAAACTATTTGAATCTAAGTTGTTAAATCTGCTTTCTTTTTCTTCTTCATGTATTAATATTATCATGCTATACTGAGGTATGTTGATACCCCTCTCCCATAATTTCTCAATTAATGGTACATAATTTTGTGTAGAGAGATCAGAAAACGGTATAAAGAGACAGAAAATGAGTGAGAGAGAGAGAGAGAGAGGGGGGGGGGGGGGGGGGGGGGGGGGGGGGGGGGGGGGGGGAGGGGGCAGAGAGAGGGAGAGGGTTTTAGATTTCATTTTTCTCCAATACTCACCAAAATATTTGTTTGATTTGTATTGTAGATCTACAATGAGGACATCCATGACCTACTCTCAAAGGACAAGAAGGAGACACTTGCTATCAGAGAAGATATAGATGGTGGAATCAGAGTAAGTATCTGCAGTGTAAGCAAAATCATACCTCCATTTTGCAATGTAAGCAGTTTCAGCTGTATCTTCTTCTAAAGCTTTATACTTGAAGTTTTAAATGTTGCTGTTGAAAGCAAGTTGCACTCAAACAAATTATTTTTCATGGTTAAACAATATGTACACGCATGTTTATGCTGCTGATAACCAAAATCTTTTTATTAACAGATATATCCTGTATATTCATATCTACTTTGCAATGATCGCATTATTTTTAGGTAGCAAGTACTAGAAACAGATTAAATTTAGTCACATAGCTGCCAACCATCCCTTTTTTGAAGAATGATTCCTTTTTGTTTGTTTTGGTTTTAAAACTTATATTATGATTCCTATATATTTTTATGTTTATCTGAAAACTTCTTTGTAAAACATAAAAACACATTGTATTCCTAATTCCCCCTGATGAGATTCCAAAGTGTGTCTTTTAAAATCTGTAGGCCTCCTCCAGATAATACACCTAGGCATCATTTCACAAACCGTACAAGTACAAGTTTGCTGTCATCCATTGAAATGCATGTTAATATCATGAAACATTGCCTAGTTACAAGTTGAGTTTGAGCCTAGTATGCAGTTCATTGAATGTATCTCATTTTCTGTCTGAATTAGGTGGCTGGATTAAGTGAGGTGACAGTGACTAGTGCGGGTGACATGTTCAGATGTCTGGAGAATGGTTCAGTAGGCAGGACCACAGGGTCGACGGCCATGAACCTCCAGTCCAGCAGATCACATGCTATCTTCACCATCTATGTACAGCTCAAGAAGAAAGATTCAAGGTGAGTGAACTTTTGAAAGCACTTTGCAACAAAGATATTTTATTCCTGCCCCATCCCGTTTCCCTTTGGGCAATAGTGCTTACGTAGGAGGAGGAGGAGAAGGCGGGATAGCTTACTGGTATAACAGTGGTCTCATGAGCGGGAGTTCTCAGGTTTTTAAACCAATTTGATGAGGCAGTACCATTTGATAATCCACCAATTCTCAAGGCTCCATCACCAAATCCCTCTGATAGAACATAAAGTGGGAGGTCCTCCAGTTGCTTATCATATATATGCAATCTCATTCAGGTGAAATTAATAATTAATCCTCAGTCGATCAGTTGGCATTTCTTTCTTTGCCTGCCCATATAGAATTAATGAATTGATCTTCAATTTCTATGCACACGAGGGCAAGTGCAATGATTCAGTTTGAGCATTACTGCATTGCACCAAAATACAGAAAAGTGAAGGAAGCCTCTGGGACCTGTTTCACAAAGCCTTTTTTCAATGACAAATGACAAAAATCAATGACAACTCTGTTGATAACCAATCAGAAGCAAGGATTTCAGAAGCTTACAACAAAAACTGTCATTTGTCACTAATGACAAGTTCTGTGAAACACCCTGTTCTTTATTCATACATATCTATTTTATTCTTTGACTTTCCAGCGAGTCCTTCTGTCATGCCAAATTCCATTTGGTGGATCTTGCTGGTTCGGAGAGAGCGAAGCGCACCCAAGCACAGGGAGATCGATTCAGAGAAGGTGAGCTACGTCAAATGCCATGTTCTGGGGGAACTTGCATAGAGAGATTATTCATTAGATATGTGTGTTTGTCTCTGTAAGGGCCCGATATGAAGTGCTGTGAATGCATCTCTACCTTTTACGACCAAACTGGTAGTTACAATGTGTAAACTGCTGCAGATCATAACATGTAAAACTAGGTCTCAGCTGTGAGATTTTAACTATTATAGACTGCACCCCATATGCCTGACAACAGTATTTGTAAGAGGTATTGGGCTTATACATGTAAACAAAAATGTAAAATCCGAATTGTATGACAATGTACTGTAACCCATAGGCCTGACACAACCATTGATAAGCTGAGATGGGCTAGCTAATAAAACAAAAAAATACATACAAATCACATTAGTTAGCAGAATTAAAAAATCTGTGGGAAACCCACTTATATAAGTTGGTAACACTTCTTCTTATTATTTTGCAGGTGTAAATATCAACCGTGGTTTGCTAGCTCTTGGCAATGTCATCAGCGCGCTGGGAGATGAGAATGGACGCAAGTCACATATACCGTACAGAGACTCCAAGCTGACTAGACTTCTACAAGGTAAAGTGATCCAATCCAATCCAAAAGATATTTGATATAGCGCCTTTTCCTTGCAGTTACAAAGCGCTGCACACACGCTCCACAATGTTTGATAGTATATAGATCCAAGAGGTGGGCAGAATGACCAACTCCTGTGCTCTGCACACTGAGAGATTAAAAAACAACAACATTTTTTAGGGCTAAAAATGTATACTTTCCTGAAAACCATCAGACCTTCCTCTCAAAATGTAGGAATTTCAGAAATCCTGTGGGATAATTAGTCTCTGCCATCTGAAGATGGTGCTGGAGGATTTGTTATGTTTTCTGTATGTCCATTCATCTCTCCTGCTTTAATATTTGAGGTATGAACTTAAAAATTGGTGCCAGTAAGTAGTATCGCATATATGGATTTTGTGACTACATTGACAGGAAATTTTCAGCCCATCTACTGTCTAAATTGTTAAAAGTGATAATTATTACTTCAGCAATCAAACAAAATTTAGTTGACAAAAATTTGCGTTTGCCCCCTTCTGCCATGCACAATGATTTATTGAAAAATGATTTGAATTTTTGCATGCAGATTCCTTAGGAGGCAACAGCCAGACTGTGATGATCGCTTGCATCAGCCCTGCAGACTCCAACATGGAAGAGACCCTGAACACACTGCGCTATGCGGACAGGGCCAGGCGTATCAAGAACAAACCCATCGTGAACAGAGACCCACAGGCAGCAGAGCTGAATAAACTTAAGCAACAGGTAAACTATGGGTCCTGGAGTGACGTGCATACCTGCCAACCCTTCCGAATAATCCGAAATATTCCATCTTTCTGGATTTTTAGAACCCCAAAATCCGGAATATTCTGTTTTGTCAAAATTTTGATTTTTCAGCAACTAACACTGCCGCTGCATGTGCGAACGCCTGTTAAGGGTACAGATTTCTTATTTTCGAAGACATACCGTGCTAAAAAATTCTTAATTCTCATTTTCAAATGTTGGTAGGTATGGACGTGTTGCCCGGTGTGCTGTTAAGGAGGGGGGGGGGGGGGGGTTGACATTGATATATATGCTTGACATGGGGGAATCTACGTAGCATCTCACTTTTATATGACCTTTAAAAAAAAACGCTCATTTATCAATTTATTCATTCATTATCTTGTTTGTTCATTTTAATTCATTATTTATCTTTTCCTTGGGGGGGGGGGGGGGTCTTTTCAATCTATCTATATTCAAATCCAATATATTTGTTATTATTTGTGTATCAAATTTGTTTTCAAGGTTCAACAACTTCAGATCCAGCTCCTTCAAGGCAAAATTCTCAATGGAGAGGGTGATTCCGCAGCTGTGATGTAAATATTCATAGTTTTCAGAGACAACTAGATTTCTTTTTATTGTAATATAAAGTTTTATCCTGTGTTGTGAACTTGTGATAGCCTATGATTGCAGTCTTTGCATAAATGTATTCATGTGAGATGTGACTTTGAAAAAGTTTTGTCCTTCATCCTCGAGTTATGAAATATTATGTATGTTCTGTAAATAATATACTTGATAGAAAACGTACTAAATTGCAAGCAAGCACAAGTTGAACACCCTGCCTGGCATCAGGTGTGGTTTACTGAAAAAAATATCTTTTAATTAATAAAACAATTTTACTTGGCATAACAAATCTAACTTAGGACAATTCATTGGGTAATGTCTGTACAAAGCTGGTTGCGTTTGCATAAAGTTAAAAGAAACATATGTGCAAGCACCAATGGGAAGAGTTAGTTCCGCTCAATTTCAGTTTGTTATGACAGTTGAAATTGTTTCCCCTAGTGTAAAAGATAAAATATTTTTCAGAATACGGCCCCTGGTAAATTAGCTTAGATATATGTAAGAAAATTTGCTTTGTAGTTATAATACCACACATTCACAATTTTGGAGGTCAAATTAGATTCTGAAAGAAATTTTTCATGATAATTGCACTGGTACCTTGATCACCTTGTTCTTTATCTGCCTTTTGATCTCTTTTCATATGTTCATCAAATTTGTTTTTGTCCTCTGTATTTTAGTATGGAAGGAGGACAAGATCTGAAGACCTTATTGGAGAGAAACAAGTCCCTTGAGGTGAGCAATCCATTCATCTGATTTTCTGACATCCACGCATGCACTGGTTTATAGACTTTTACTAATGTACCAAGTGATTTGACAGGGAGGCCTACATGATATTTTACACTCCCTATATATGATGATGATGATGATGTGTGACATTCACATCAGGGCCCCATTTCACAAAACTTGTCATCAGTGACTTATGACAGTTTTTGTTATAAGCTAGTGTAATCCTTGCTTCTGATTGGTTATCAGCAGATTTGTCACTGACTTTATTCATTTGTTGTTGAAAAAAATGCTTTGTGAAACGTCCCTGGAGTATGTTTAACAATAGCTAGCTCCATGAAATGTACATTACTGGAATGAATAAATGTACATTTAAAACTGGAATGAAGAAATGTACATTACTGGAATGAAGAAATGTACTTTATTGGAATGAAGAAATGTACAAATCATCTTCCAAATAGTTATCTCTTGGCTAAAATCTGTAAACAAGAAGGAATGTAATGTACATTGGAGATACTCAGGTTCAAAAGTTCACTTCAAATCCAAGTTGAATTGTATGTAGATGATTTTCATGCCTCTTGCTACAAAGCAAAGTAGCCGGAGGCATTATGTTTTTCGGGTTGTCCGTCCATCCGTATGTCTGCATTTTTCTCAAGAACCAATTGATGAATTCCCTCCAAACTTTAGTCACTATGATCATAACGGACAAAGAAAGAGGACAAAATATACAGTTCCTCAGGTAGACAATGGAACATCCTTTCACTGCTATTATGTAAACATGTGTAGAACAGGTATGTGACACCTGTTCTACACATTTGTACATAATAGTAATGAAGGGATGTTCCTTTGTCTACATGAGGAACTGTATATTTTGTCCTATTTCTTTGTCCGTCATGTTTATGTCCGTCATAGTGCATGTATCTTGCAGAGCTTATGAACTGATTAGATTTAGGGGTCACGAGGTCAAGGTCACAGGGCTTATTATGTATGCAAAAATAGCTTGTGGTCGCATTATCTCAAGAACCGATTGATGGATTCCTGCCAAACTTGGGTCATGTATCTTGCAGAGCCAATGAACTGATTAGATTTTAGGGTCAAAGGTCAAAGGTAGTGGGGGCTCATTTTGTACTCAAAAATAGCTTGTCGCATTATCATGAGAACCAATAGACAGATTATCATCAAACTCAAGACATGTATATGCATCTTGCAGAGCCAATGAACTGATTCGATTTTAGTTTCAAAGGTCATGGGGCTCATTATGTATGCCTATAAATAGCTTGTGAACGCATTATCATTAGAACAGACAGATGGATTACAATCAAACTTGAATTTAAAAAATTGCTTCCGTTTTGGTTTGTAAAATTGCTCTGTGGCAGAAGCATTAATTTCGACTGCGTGCAGGTCGCCATCTATTTTTTTAAAACTTTACTTTTTGCAGATTTAGATCCATACATTGTATATTGAAATTTAGTGATAATGTTGCAATGATTTCTTCAGTGGATTCTAGTAGAAAAGTTTTAATTACTTAATTACTGTTCTAAGAATGTCTCAAGAGTTTAAAAGTAATTTTTACTTGAATTGAAAGAATATTTAAACACAAATTGTTTCTTTGTTTTTATTTCACCTTTTTCCAATACCTTATAATAGGCTGAAAACACAAAGCTGTCCAATGAATTGCAGGCATCTATTGACCAAACCACTCAGATGTATGAAAAGGTCATCCTAGTAAGTACATTATTATTATTATCATTGTTTAAAATCCTGTCCTTGGGAAAAAAATAATTAAGATAGAAAGATGATATAGAAGAGAGAGAGAGAGAGATAGATACACAGGGCAATTTAAATAGGCAGTATTTCATGTACATAATCTTTTTTGTTAAACATATATTTTCTTGGCATGGATTAGTATTATGTATATTATTGTTATCACAAAAGAAAATGTTCTTATATTTCCTTTTTTCCTATATCGAATTTGCATTGTTATGAAAATGAGACCTATAAATTGTTTAAAAACTAAAGAAGAGAGACAGAGAGTGGGTGAAGGGGGGAGGGGCGGGTGGGATAGGGAGGAAGCATAGAGTAGATCATATTTAAGTGTTATCTGGGGTTTAGATGAGTGTTTTTTCATACTTTCGTGATGAAAATAAGTTTCATTACTCCATTGTTCTACCTCTCAGGCTGAGATGACCAAAGAAAAGCTAAAGCAAAAACTCGTGGAGCTCAGAGCGAGCGCCAACATGAGCATCGGAGTTCTCGACATGACCATCGCCGAGGGAGGGGATGGGCATGACATGTCAAAGGTCAAAGAGCAGCTAGGAGTCATGAAAGACCTTCAGCAGAAGATAGCAGATTTAGAGAATCAGCAGGAGGAGGATGAGAAGGCTGAAGCACTGTATGGTGAAGATGAGTCGAGACCTACAGTGAGTATCCAATGCATGTACATAACTCCTTATTACAATTTAAGGACAAGTCCACTCCAAAAATAACTAACTTTCAATAGAAGCAGAAAAATCAGACAAACCAATCAAAAAAATATTGAGCAAAATCGGGTTACAAATAAGAAAGTTATGAATTTTTGAAAAATGTACAACTATAAACCAATGGAAATCAATGCACGAATTGCCTTTTTTCTTATTAGTTATCCAATTTTGCTCGAACTTTTTTGATTGGCATGTTTGATTTTTCTGCTTCTATTGAAAGTAACTTATATTTGGAGTGGACTTGCCCTTTAATGCTGGTTTATTTGAATTGTCATCAATGCTTTGCCTGATTTTAAGTCCTGTCATCTCTCTGTTCAGGCTTTCTCGGTCTCTGTGTACAGGCCTCACAGGGCTCCATCTTGTCCAGGATTGTCTTCGATGAGAATGTTATCCCTTTATTGTTAGTAGTGCTACAATTTGAAGATCTTTCGCGTAATAAAAATGTACTTGTATTTTCAGTATTAGAAGAAGAAAAAAGGAAGCTTGGGACAGAACACATCAAAAGAGGATTGTCTTTTTAAGGTTTAGGAGGGAAATTCGATCTAAAAGAAAATTGTGCTTTATGTTCATTTGTCATTGCAAGAGGACAAAGATACTGAGTTGTGTGAAATGACTTGCCAGTAATATCTAATTTTGAGGGAAAGACATGTATTACAATTTGTTATGTTTTTGTTTTGTTTTAGTATTTTCTTGGTTTGGATGATACATTGCAATTGTTTTTTTTGTTTTTTTGTTTGTTGTTGTTGTAAGTGCCAATAAAAATATAAACTGCATTTTGAACACTAACTTCATATTAACATGCTTTGTCCACAGACTGCTGCTACATCATCCGATGAGTCCGAATTCACTGGACCTTCCCCGCGGCCCGAAGGCGAGGCTTCCTCCTCACCCGACATCACCAAGACCCATGCCCTTCGCCAGGCAGCCCTTAGCAGGGAGCTTCATGAGCTGAACCACGCCCTGGCCAGGAAGCAGGAGCTTGCCCAGACCATGGGACAGAGTGATGAGAAGATGCAGGTCATGAGGATACAATATGAGGTCAGAGCAAGTTTTTCTTTTCATCAGAAATCGATTTATTAACTAATTTTTTTAAACATTGATGCTGCATTTGGAGTGGATTATTTCATGAAGAGATTCATGTAATGTTAAGCAATTGTAGTAAGCACTTTAGCTTTTTAAAACTTGAAAATATGTTTAAAATATACAATCAATTACAATGTTAAACTTCATTACTGATTAGGAAATGCTTTTTTCTACAGCACATTGAGAAAGAATCTCTAGTTATACACTGAGCAGGAGCCATTTGATAGCAACAATGATAGCCCTTATATTCCTGAATATTAACAAGTTTTGTCAGGAACATTGGCAAGATTTCTGCCTAAGCTGGGGAGAATTATGTCCAAAATTCACATTTTACAAGAGCAAAGGGCATTACAACATCTTTTTTTTTTTTGCCTAATGTAAAACCGAATGGCATTTTATGTTGAATTAATGCAGACGACGATGAAGCAGCTGGAAGACCAGGTGAACACACTGTCGAAGGAGAAGGAGACCCTGAGCCATGAACTCTTTGCATCCAAGACAAATGCAAACTCTAACAAGTAAGACATGATAGGTCACATGTACTGTCGATTGAAATAAGGGAATGTAGCATGATGAGACTATGTGTCTTTCCCGTGGCCTGACTCGGGGGCCAACACGACTACAGTTGATGGGACCGCAGCAATCATGTAGTGCAACATATGCGAAACCGAAGCGTGAGGAGAACTTCAGTCTGTTTCTCGAACGCTAGCACGCACTGACCATGTAGAGATTAAGTCGCTGACTACCGTTAATCAAGTGCAGTTGTGTCCAAAAGAAGACATAGATGGCGTTAACCAGTTAACCACCCCCTTTAAATGTTTGCAAGCCACTAATTTTAATCTGCATTCAGTTGAATTATACTTTGTTCATTCTAGATTGAAGGTAGAAAATCAGGAAATTTGATAAATGGATGTTTGATATTTATATATAGATTCAACATTTTTCCTTTAGTTCTTTGAATAGAACCATGATCTGATTTTCTTTCTTCTGTAAGTCCTCTTTTTCTGAAATGTAACCTTTTGGTTTCGAGGTTTCTCACAAGGAATCTTTTCGAGATATTCAAAATAAGCAAGTATCACTCAATTTATGCAGGGATGATTCTAGGGTAAACTGGAAGTTTAGAGAGTTGGTGTCCTCTTCAATTACTTTCCCTTGAATTGACTGAAAGACAAGTTCCCATTGAGAGATCATGTGCTTGTTTATCTTCCTAGCACTTATGTTAAATGAACAATAATTTCATGCGGTTTGTTTTTATAGGTTGAGTGAATGATAAAATTGTACTGATTGTTTCATAGACTCAAGAGAGAATGATAAATTGAGTGATTAATGCTGTTTAAAGTTTATCTGTACTAGTTTATAGGAGGGATAAGACCACCCTGCCAGGTCACTGGTCAGGTGGTTACCTTATCAACTCAGCTCTCAATTAACATACCGGTAAGAAAAAGAGGATCATGGGGGACCACTGGTCACCGATTAGACATTGTTTTCTATAAAGAGGGAGCAAGTAGCTACCAGCAGGACAGTGTGGCTTTAAAATCTAATGATATATATGTATTTTTGTAGGTTGAGTGAGCAGCGTCGTAAGAGACTGCAGGAGTTGGAGGCACAGCTTGGTGAGCTGAAAAAGAAGATCAACTCACAAGCCAAGCTCGTCAAACTCAAAGAGAAGAGCGATCTCACCGTCGGCAAACTCAACAATGAGATTGGGGTATGAACAAATTATTACTATACTATATAACTTTTCTTTGATGATATTTCATCAATGTAAGGTATAATGATTACCTCTCCCAAGTGAAGCTATCAGTACAATGTAGTTGTCCAGGGATTTTGACACTTTATATAAGATGCACATTTCTAGAGTTCATATTAAGATGTATAAATGTATACCTTATTAATTTGTTTTCTTCATTTGAATATGTATGCAAATGACACCTGCCAGGAATGCTTTCAAAGGAATGGATATTAAGTGTACATTGTTAAAAGGTTTGTGACATTTCATCCAAAGGAGCTTATTATTCACTTGACCTATGACCTTTTCTTTCTGCAGTCAATGAAGCAAGCCAGGGTGAGACTGATGAAACAGATGAAAGAAGACACCGGCAGATTCCAGCAATGGAAACGGACCAAGGATAAAGAAGTACTACAGCTCAAAGCAAAAGTAGGTCTATTCACACTGTAACTTTCATATTAAAGATGAAGTTGAGTTCTGGTTATGCGATTGCATTGTGAAAGAAACGGTGTGGAATCGACCAGAAAGGTTGATCATCTAGCATATAAGTATTTGTGTGTATTGTGGTCGTGCGGTTCTGGAATCATTAAAATGATAAGAAATTGGGCCAAGTTTTGGTGAAGTTACAAGCACTGTACACAGAAAGATGTATATGAGACTACACGAACATGTGGCATAAAAATCCGTCCTGATTTTTCCGATGTTACAGGCCATATTTAGAATATGAAGGCATTTGAAGAGCCATGCTTTTCAGGGAACATCTGATGTTCATCCACACTTGCATAAATACAATGATAACGCTCACAAATTAATTGTCACCTCTTTCCAGAACTCGACCTTCTCTTTAAATATGATCTATAATCGACTTTACCTTTTTTAAAATCTATATTGTGCATATTTTCCCAACAATATCTTGACAATCTAGGTTGCAGTGTGATCAATTTGATACAGTATGTGATGGAGAATATGTTAGAGAGGCATGATATATGACATATATTATTTTTAGAACCCATACATATCAATTACCAATTTCACCTACATTCTTAAAATATATAGGGTTGTACAGCTGTGTGTTATGTGTGTCAATAAGATGTAAAGAAAAAATAGTAATTGAATTCATGTTTATTCATTCCCTAATGCCTGTTTAGGATCGGAAGCGTCAGTTTGAATACACCAGGTTAGAACGTCAGAACCAGAAGACCCAGAATGTACTTCGGAGGAAAATGGAGGAGGTACGTGACATACCTTTACTTTTATTTCTTCTTTTGGGGGTCTAATCGCATATGATTAACATCGTGAGGTCACATATTTTTCTGTGCAGTACTTAATGATTGCAATATTTGCTAAAGTTCAGGAAACATATATTGGTGAGCACCGGAGCATCCTCCTACAGGAGTCCCACCATTGGAATTCAGTCTGGGATATTTTAAGGGATCAGCTCCAAACAAGAGTACGCGCCAGAGCCATCTATCTAGGCACAGAGTTTTGCCAAATTTGTTTCACTTGGTCACAACATAACATGGTATATATATATTTTTTTTTTTGTGCTTGCCCAACAAAGCAGTATTGGCCATATTGCGCCCAACTCAAACGGGGTCGGCCAAACTCTCCTAATTAATGGTTCTGTTTGGCTCCTACTGTGATAAGCTACAGGGCAACCCTTGTGTTTTAAACAGAATGTGCTAATTGTGAAAGAAAAAAATAATTCACAAAGACTTATAATTTATAAATATCTGTTTCAATGAATTGTATATTGTCTTTGTTTCTTTGAAATGCAGGCTTCAGCTGCTAATAGACGATTGAAAGATGCTCTTGAGAAGAAGAGTAATGCAAGGAATGGCAAGACGAATGATACCAACAGACTAGAAGGCATGGGCAAGAGGATCAAGGTAAGATAGAAAATATGTTCATCAATTGGTTTCCACTGGGACAAATGCACCTTGGTATATAGATGTACATTTTTTTTCACCATAAAAAAAGGGAAAACGAGCTGTTACTAGTATTACTTTAAACAGAATTTGCTACCTAAAACACTGAAAAAAAGAAAGAAAAGGAAGACTTGTCAACAGTTTGAGAGTTTGTTTCATAGGTTGTTGCTTTGGCTAAAAATCACTACTGCACCAATAAAAGTGAAACTCATGAATCATTAGAAGAATGGAAGAACTTATTTACGTTGATGAATGATTCAATTCACGGTGTTCCTTTTCTCCTTCCTCACATATTGTCCAACCTACAGTAACTTTTCCTTTGCTAAACCTCACCACTCGCACTGCCAGAAATATACCATTGTCGTGTGAGGTTATCCCAGATAGCTTAGTCATGAGGTGCCGTAGTCGAGTGGCACTAGACTTGAAATGCATAGGTCGTAGGTTCGATCCCTGACACAGCACCGAAGTCCTTTGGCAAGGCGTTAATCTAGATTTGCCACTCTATACCCAGGTGTTAGTAATTTCCATATGCCCTCACAGTGACCATATGGCAGGAATACTCCCCAGGGAGTGGAGATGGTGCACATTGTGCAGGAATGAATCCGATGCCCAGGGGTATGATATCTGTAGAGTGCTTAAGGACAGAACTTTGTATTTTTAAAAATCCAGATTAATATTATTATTATTACATGTGTGAGTGAATTTGTATTCATCCTGACAATTTTACCATATTTGATCTTTCTATCTTCTGCACTCTAGTCATGGATTGACCATGAGCTTGAGGTACGTGTGAGTGTGAACGAAGCCAAGAGGCATCTAGCCTCACTACTCAATGACCGCAAGACCCTGTCCAAGGAGATTGGGCGCCTGGAGAGATCACAATCAACACCACAGGGTGACAGTCAGGTAATACCATATTTAAGATTATTGTGCTTCATTTCCTTTTATACCGGTAGTTATTGTGATATTTGAATTCAAATTCAAACATGGAAGAAACTATCCTTCACTCCTGTTTGTCTCTTAAGCCCCTTCCACAACAAATGTAAACTGCCTACCATATATAATATTTTGCAGAAAATACCCCAGAAATATTTAAATGAAAAGCAAAAAAGGATTTAAAAAAAAAAAGCCTTACAATGGCCCATATGCTGACTCTGATCTGTCTGTGGCTATATACGCATACACTAAATGGACATGATTTTAGCTGCTGCTGCAGTTGTTTTTGAAGTGGTATATTGCCTTGTGTTTGAAAGAAGCTTTTGTTTATTAAATCAAGATATTCACATTGAAGCAATACCATTTGTTTACTGTGAAAATTTCTGATTTAATCAATTGAGACAGCCTTTTGCAATCAAGGTGCAAATAGAACATTGAAAGAATACGCCACTGCAGTCCAAAAGGAGTAACCTTTGATATCTCTTGTCATTTTATTCTGTAGACACCAAGTGGAAAGCCAGTGCTGATTAGATTGAATGAGCTGAGATCAGAGATTGAACTTCGTAATGCCCAGATCTCGGATCTCCAGCAGAAAATCATGGACGCTGACAATGGTGAGTTCCTAGTTTCTGGCTCTGCTGTAAACGTCTCATACATTGTAACTGTAGTGAGCATAAGTGTGGTAAGCACATCAGGTGGCAAATTACCCAGATGCCACAAAACAGTTCACTGTCCTTTCATGCTGTACTCAAATGCTGCAATCCCCTCTCTCTCAAGGGCAAAGTATAAGGCCATTGCACATTGTAGCTTTATTCTTTGTATTTTCTTCTTTTTTGTGTTGTTGTTGATCTAATACCACTCTGACGGGCATAAAATTTGTGCCTGTAAAAGTGGAAATGTTCAAGGGCTGTCATATGTAAGGGAATTACAATTTTTATGTTTGAGATGTAGGGTAACAGTGTTGTTCTGGGAAACCACAAGAGAGATACAAATCATAGTCATACCCTGTTTTAGTTAGGCCTTCTTACTTTAAAATGCATTCATACATTCTTATTTTCTCTTATTCACATTTATTCATCCGTTCATGTTTAACTTCTCATTATTCTGCAGATGTGATCATAGTCATAGCCTGTTTTAGTTAGGTCTTCCTATTATGCTATTATGTTCTTATCATTTCATTTCTTCTGTACTCACTTCTTGATTTTCTTCTATTTTCATAGCGCTTAGAGACTTAATTGTAATTTGCGCTATTAAAAACTGAGTATTATTATTATTATTATTATTATCAAAATGCGTTCCTTTATTCTTATATCCTCTTATTTACATGTATTCATTCGTTCCTGATTACCTTCTCACTATTCTGCAGATGAGAAGTCACAGACGAATCGATGGCATAACATCACCAGTATGCCTGAAGCTAAGTGTAGCATTGACAGACTCATGGAGGCAGTAAGTCAATCTCTTTGCATCTTTACACAATCTAATCAATATCTCTTTTGACTATGAAGAAATGTCAATTCTCAGCATTTACAATATCTAAACATTGTATTTGTCATAGAGGGATTGGTATTTCTTAATGCTGTCAGCAAGTTTGGCCCTGCATGGCGATTAGATTTCTAGTCTAGAGGTAATTTACTTGCTGGACACCAAACTTCTAAATAGGAATAGCCCTAAATTTTAAGTTTTGTAGACTTTGTGTTTTAAAATCTTCACTATAACCTCCTATGATTAACTATTTTACCAATTCGTACAATACTATTTCAAACATTTGAGGTAAAAATCCCATCACCAGTGCAAAATATACACAAATACCTGTGATCACTGCTGGCTTCCAAGTAATAGCCTTTGGGCCAAGTTTACCAGCTTTTTCATACTGTAATACCTTAGTCACGTTTGCAATTCTTGTTTGATGTGTAAGTTTTAAATGTTTAGCCGGATGTATGTATTTTTGTATTGAATGAATGAATGAATGAATGAGTGAGTGAATGAATGAATGAGTGAAAGAATGAGTGAGTGAAAGAATGAATGAATGAATAAATCAGTGATTGAATAAATAAATGAATGAAAATGTGCTGAATCAGTTATTGGTTGTCGAGTGAATGAATGAACAAAGAAAAGTAAATTGAACCCCTTTCTTACTCGCACATAGGCCACCTTGTCACGGGTAGAGATGGGCATCCTACAGAGCAAGCTCTCTGATCATCAGTCATCCCTTGACGATGCACACAAAGACAAGGAAGAGATGGAGACGGAGATGGACCAGGTGAAGATGGCTTATGAGAGAGAAAGGACGGAAATACAAAGAGCTCATGAAGACAAGGTGAGAATGAGATCCCCTTTTATACCTGCAGGGATAGCTAGTTAACAGAGTCTGTATACAGACCAGCATGTATAGCTAAATATAGAATGACCTGCAACTCATGCCAGGTCAGTTATGAAACAATGAATACTTGTATAATACCTGACATGGATACATGACTACAGAGATGTTTGACTGCACAGTACCTCAATAAAGCTATACATCTTATTAATTCCATCTAAGCTTTCTAACTGGTCTTCTATAAGAATATGATAATACCTACTGCAGTTTTCTTGTTGTAGGGTGTAGTTTTAACTTTGAGAACAGTTGTTGATGTTATCGTTATATTTTTGGCATAGAGAGTGGAATTTGAGAACGTTGATGTTAACTTGCAGTTAAAAATGGGTTTGTTATTTCATTCATTTTAGGGATGAGGATCTTTTAGAGTTTGTTATATTTTTTTGATACCATTTAATCTTCCTATAACTGCTAGTTTTCCATTTGCTAATATTTTGTCAATTGTATTTCTATTGTTGAGGCATACTCATAGCTGTGCACTTGGGTCATGTCCCCTTTGTAAGCTGTACTTCTTGTTCATGTTTCCTTGTACATATATTATACATCAATGTATACAGGATATAAACATTACCTATATGTTCCGTTTATTCTGATTCTTCCTTATCAATAGATTCTGTATCTACTGACTCAGCTCTCATCAGCTTCTGACAAAGTGGACGAATCTGAACAGAAGATGAGTGGAGAGGAGAGCATGCTCAAACAAAGGCTTCATTTCCAGGTCAGAATCTATTACAAAGTTCATGTTGATGTCAAAGTCCATCTCTCATGAGTTTCAATATGTAATGAGTCGCAGTTTGATCAAACAAGACTTGATGGAATACCCTCAATGTGCCTGTCAATTTTGCAGGCTGCAAAACCACTCAAGCCTCCCTCGAGAAACAAGGGCCCGTTACATAAAATTTATCTTTGATTGCAACTTTGCCATCAATGGCAACTACCATGGTAACAGGGCTCAACAGCCAATCAAAATCAAGGTTTCCATGCTAGTTACCATTGATGGTATAATTACCATCAATGGTAAGTTTTGTGCAACGGGCCCAGCCCATTTGAAATTGCTTTATATAGTATATCCTAAAGACTTCTTCACATTTGGAGATACAGAATGTCCTTATTATTAATGCTTGTGTTTGTTTGTGATTGTAGGAGGAGCAGATTGAGGAGTTGAAGTCCATACATGAACAGCTTCAAGAGACAATACTAGAAAATGATGAGCTCAAGAAGGTAAGCATACCTTAAAGCGGGACTGCACTACTTGTAGCTACTTGCGCCCTCTGTATAGCAAACATTGCCTGAGCGATACGCGTTGGTCCCCCATGATCCCCTTTTTCTTATGTTAATTGAGAGCTGATTTGATGAGATAACCACCTGTCAGTGACCAAGCAGGGAGATCTAATCCCTCCTGGCCAAACTAGTGCAGACAGGCATTAAAGGAAAGGAAAACGGTGTTCTGGTTTTGGATTAGTACACATAACATTAGGATACTTGTCTCTATGCACTTCCAAAGTGCTTTTTAAATCTGCGTAGTGTTGGTCCATCACTGAGTGGGCACTGATCTTTTTGGGAGGGGTTGACATTTTGATGCTGCTGAAATGTGAGAAAAAAAGGCCTTGAAGAGGGTTAGGAGGGGGCTCAATCATCTTAAATCATATTTTTATTACCTTTCTCTTTTCTCTCTTTGTTTTTTCTCCCCCTCCCTTTTTTTCACCATTTGATTGGGTAGAGCCAGGAGGGCAAATATGGGTAAAATGTTTTTGAAGTAATCGATTACAAGCAGGTTATTTCTGACGACCTTCCATTTAATTTGTTTTTATTGTTTCCATAGAAACTAACAGTAGCGACGTACAAGGGGAAGAAGTCTGCACTCATGCCTGTTCTCACATCCCCAGAGGCCTCACCCATCCCTCAAATGAAACCTAAGAAGAAGGTAATTTTCTAGAAGTATTTCTGTTGCATCGTATTTGTAGAATACCACATTCCAGAGAATAAGCGAGTTCGTAATTAGGATTTGCACATGGGCAGATAAAGGTCATTCGTACCCAAATTGTAAAACCATTGAGACAAATATTCAGATCCTGCTCATGAAAGTTATTTCATCAGTATTCATTTATGCACCAATAGTACATTTATGAGATACACAGGTGGAAGTATTCTTCTCAAGAGGCAAACAAAAGGTATTAATGAAACACCTCCATCACTTTGGCAGTGATTATTCTAAAATGCACAGGTGGGAAGTATCCATTGTGTCTAAGATCTGTGGATATTTTGGGATCATGTGGTCCAGAGCTATTTACAAACTCGCTTATTGTCCTTTACGTGTAGTAGGTTTTCTATGTTATGATTTTCACATTGTACGTGATTTATAGAACATATAAACATACATGTATTGTACATTTTAAAAAATGTAAATTTTGAAAGGATAACTGCTCTGCTGTTACAGAGTATCTCAATAAACTTTCTTGTGTGGTATTCACTTAGTAATTTAATAGATTCCCATTGATTTTATATCTTAACACTTTTGCTTTATAGAGAGAGAGAGAAACAGTTACGGACAGAGAACTGGATATATTTTGTTTGTCTATGACTTGGAATATAAGAATGCATGATCCACAGGGTTGCTTAATTCCACTTTCAATGGCACTAGTTTTGTCCAAGTTTTTTTATTTGACTAGCATGAAAATACATCAGTACAAAAAGGATATAAATGTCTGAGAGAATTAGATAATTTGTTACATTATTTCTGTGTCTTTCTTCAAAGTTAATTTTTTTCTTCCCTTTTTTCCCCTTGAAATCGTGCTATGTGCAGAGATCAACCGCAGTTCCTAAAGCGAAGAAAATAGAACGTGTCACTCTGGAGGAATTCTTTAGTGCTGGGGAGAGTGATTCTGAGTTTAGTCCTGATTCAGAATCGGACTGGATGGAAACCCCCGTCAAGAGGAAGGCATCTCGAGCCAAGGTATAGTAACACTCGCTTTAATGAACTTACTCGTTTCCATCGAGACTCCATCCTGAATTGTCCCAGGTGTAGTATTGAAAAGATGAGGGAGAAGGTCCCCTATCTGGAAATACAAAGCTGGCAGGTGTGTCACATGTTCTGCATATGACTTGCTTTTTTCCTACAATTATTTATTGGATGTTCTACAGAAGTCAAAAGTCCAGCCAATTTTAGAAATGTAGGTCCTTCGTAGACCTAATGATCATACTCGGTTTCAAATATGTGTTTGTGTGTTGGAACGAATGGGAGGTTTATCTGAAACTCCTTTACAAAGACATTACAGATTTACACCCATATCGACCTGAAAAAGTCCTAGCGTTCTTATTGTTTGCCTGATTTCATTCCTACTTTCATCAATCTTTTCTTTGATGATTCTGCTTTCCTTCAAAGCAACCTGCTCTCAAGGTTGGATTGAACTTTAATGGGTCCATCTTGGTTGTTCATGCTTGTTATTTATCTGTTCTTAACGAATGTTACCGTCTTGTGTATCATTACAGACATGTAACTGCAAAATTAAGTGTCGCGGTACATGCGGCTGTAAGAGGAACGGTCGTTCCTGCAGCAAGGCCTGCAGGTGTGACCCGACAACCTGTGCGAACCGCAAAGGTCGTGATTCATATGATCCAGATGAGAGTGCAGAATCGGTGAGTAGCTTCAATTTTTTCTTTCTATTAAAATGAGTAATGACAATAATTAAAACATTGATAGTTAAAGGTAAAGACCAGTATTGGAAACGCCCCAATTTCAAAAAATGGAATGGAAGCTCTTATTACCAATCATGTGAAAGAATATGTTTTGAATATTACATGATGATAAAAATTTTGATGGGAAACCGCCTACTAATTGATATATTTGGTAAATTAGTGTATCTCTTGCCTGTCGAGAGATATGAAATACACGTGTCGCGCACGTGTGCGTAGTCCCATATTCATCTTTCTGTGTACAGTGCTTCTAACTTTATGAAGACTTGGCCAAATTTCTTATCATTTTGATGATTCCAGAACCTTGCAGTACATCTATGAAGCTAACTTTTGGCATAAGTATTTAACAGCTAGTACAAAGTTTTAGTGTAAGAAAATTCACGGACATTTATTCTACTCCCTTGTTTTACAGACTTCCACCAACATCACCAGCGTAGAAAACACAGACATGATGAACACCACTGTCGTCATAGAAAACAGCGCATCGGAAGCAGACGCAGACACTCCTGGCCTCCGGGACTTCAAGCTGCCAAGCAAGCCCCATCCCCGCAAGGTCCTGGCCCCTGTCAACGGCTCAGTGGATGCTGGCAAAACCGTCAAACCGAAGTTAAAGCGGGAGAATGCCTTTGGAGGGGCTTCCCGCAAGCGATCGTCCGACGCCCTGAAGCCGAAGGGCGATGTCGCCGGGATCAAGGGGTCATTGACCAACGTGGAGAATGAGGGGATCGTGAAGCGAAAGAGGAAACTGCTGGGTCCTACCAACCGCAGCTTCTTCAAACCTCTGGATGTCTGATTGAGCTGATAAAAATCACTAAAAAGTATAAGTGACAATTCTTTGGTGAGAGGGGCATTTTTCCTATCAGGAGCATATTTTGGGAAAGTAAAGTGAATGCTTGAAGAGGAGTTGTAGATGCTTCTGTATTTCAAAGCATTGGAAAGCTAGCTGAGACTTGTTGTGATTGTATTTGTTTTGTATTGTGTGTGAAATTGACTAAAGAGATACAACATGAATTAATGGTGAAACATTGATGTAACTGTGGCCTTTTCTGCATTGCTTCTGAAGAAAGCAGGCGAACAAAATAAATGTATTATCAAGTGCAAAAGAAATGATGAATTAATGGATTCTATATTAGAATTGTCGCTTTCAGTGAGCATTTTGTACATGTATGGTGAAACATTGATGTAACTGTGGCCTTTTCTGCATTGCTTCTGAAGAAAGCAAGTGAACGAAATAAATGTATGATCAAGTGCAAAAGAAATGATGAATTAATGCATTCTATATTAGAATTGTCGCTTTCAGTGAGCATTTTGTACATGTACCAGTTCTTTCAAGCAAACTATCAATGAACAAGTTGTATTGACTGTGCTTTGGAAAGCATTCCTGCTGTATGTATACATTGATAGCTTGGGCAATAGAACATCTAAGCATCTCACGACCATCATGGGAAGTTCTTTCAATACAGTGTTTTTGAAGAACATAAGGTAAAGTGTTGGCTGCTTCTGCCAAGGCCCGAATCTTAGTGCAATTAAACCTTTAATATTTGTCTGGATTTATAAATTCTTCCAAGAAATTAAAATCACAGAATTTTCAGATAAATTGTAGCAAGAAGCAATGGGAATATTAGGAAAGCTTGTTCATATGCAGTACTGCTGAAATTACATTTATATCTCAGAAAGTACAAGTATGCTGGTAGTCGGGATCTGTAAAAGCTCAATTCTGAACTGTGGAAAAAAAATCCCACCTTAATCATGATCGCTAGTTGTTTCTTCCAATTGTGCATTTCTTAGATGAAGTAGAGAACATTTGAAGAATTAATGTAAGAAGATGTGTGTATCATTTTTTTTTTTTTCTCTCTATTGCCATTGTTATTTTCTAGCTGTTGATGTTTTTTGCAAAAATGTGTATATTTCTTTATCAGATGTTCTCTTTGAATTAATAATGAATACATGTTGCCCTAGTCTCCTAGGGTTTTATTGACTTGTAAATATAGTACATGTGTATAATAATTTTGTAAATACAATGTCTGCCCATTACCCTCAAGAAGATCTGTCTGGTCAATTTGAGAAAGAAAATAGTGCATTTAGGTTAGGTATAAAAGATTGGAAATTTAAAATCTTCCTCATTGAAGTTCTGAAAAGTGCAAGAACGAATAGTAAAATTGAAATTGCAATCTCTTTCAAGCTTTGAGTAATGGAAAAGGTTATGAAACTTTGTCATATTCAGACCTGATTAGCCATTCTCTCTGTGCATAAAATTTGCTACTCCCTGCCATTTTTATTTTTGTCATATTCTTAATTGAAAAGTTTCACAATACTCTTCCATCATTTTATTTCCTCAAACCTTGCCATATTATTGTTATAATTAATCGTTTAGTGTGGGATAGGTTTCATACTTGTTAAATATCCTGCACTTCTTGTTTTCTAGCTCTCTTCTTTTGAAAACTTATTGACACAACTTCACAATTTTATAAGCTGCAGGAGAATCTGCTGTCAGACTCAATGGCTTCAGGTTTTTTTTCTTCGAAAGAAGGTAGCATTTTTTTTCCCACTACAGTGTTCAGCACTGCTCCAAATCCTAATATCTGTGCTGCAAATGTTCTATTTTGAGATGCAAGATTTGCTGTGGATTTCTCTTCAGATTCTTGATCCAGATAGCTAACCATCTCTGCTCATTTTTTTCTAGTTTGCTCTATCAAATGAATGACTGTGCAAATGTCTGCAGTGAAGCAATCTTCATACATGCAGACTTGATTCAAGCAAACTACGAATAATTCAGATATTAATTGCCTATTGCTGCATCAGCATGAAGGTTTTTTGTACCGGTATGTATAATCTTTGAAACATGTGTGGACATGTGACGATTATCTGTGGTTTACTGTATCAAATTTAGCAGCAAAATCACCTGGCATGTCACTGAGGAATTATACATGTACCTATATGATTTTCTACAATCTCAAAGCAAGTACCTTCAATGTTGTTGCAATTATTAACCTGTAAAAAACTTCCAAAATGCCTTTTCACATTTTGTACATAGTGCACTGTTACTGTACCGCCAGTACCGGTATATATTTGGTGATTTGATAATGAAATAAAATTGTTAATTTCTTACTGATGAAACAACCGTGATTCATATGTGTTTTGATATTCAAAAGGATTTATTTGACAATATAACAAACTTTACCATTAATATAGTACTACACAAATTTTAGTACATTCACACATGGTGGTTGAGAGCCAGAAAGTCATAAATTATATGTAACAGAACCTGTGTATGAGTTAACACCCTTCTGGCTCTCAAATCAACAAAATATATTTTGATTTACATGAGATGCATTGATAGACATAATATGATTACCGGTACTTTATTATGCTATTACAATAACTTAACTAAAGCTTAGATCTAGATAACTGCTTTAAAAAATAGAATTAAAGCAAATTAGTGTTTCATTTTGCTTTGTTATGGCACAAAAATTAAAGTTATCACCCACCTCAACATAATATACATATATGTATATACAAGTGTTTCATAGGCAGAGCTGCCAACTTGTATGGATTTCCAGTAATTAACGATCATTACAGCAGTATGGTATGTTGTCTAAAATTATGGATTACAAAAACAACAAAAAAGTATTCTCTTAAAAGAAGCCAATTCTTCATTGGAAACTGATGTGTTGTGATGACCTGAAAATCAATATTTAGCAACTTTGTGTGAGTAAAATCACCAAATGCGTCCGCGCAGTGTTGGTGTGCAGTTTTCTTTAGATTCATAGAATAGCGCCGCATAGGAAACTACTGATTCATTCCCAAAATTAATGATTTTGAGCCTTGTGATTACGGATTTTCTGTTCTGGAGGTTGGCAGCTCTGCATAGGGATACAAAAAATACATCATGCAGACCTGTAACACATTCTACTATTACAATGACATTCTCCTGACTATACAAATAAAATAGTGACATATTGTAAATGATATAATATGTCTGTACATCACAGCGATATTCAAAATAGATTCTTGACTGCAGCGGTATTGCACATCCAAACTTCACACCCAATGTGGTATAGGAGATATACACAAAACAACTGAAATGGGTGTATTTGACTGGAATCTCCCATTACTTATATGTATGTACATTCAATAAGTGACATGAGGGATTTCACCATAGTCTTTTGTGATAATCAACAACTGCTACTGTACTAGTAGGGGTGGATTCAGGATTTTGTAAAGGAAGGGGCACAACAATCCTTGAAATAAATTTTCTGACAAGCAAACGGGCAAACCAAACCAAAAAATAAAGAAAAAATTAATGTCTGAGTTGTGTACTGGAGATATGGCACTGAGGTTTCATAGGTTGATGCCCCCCAACCCAAAATCCGCCGTTTAATGTTAGGATTTTTCTTAAATACACACATGTACTCTTTTCTTTTGCTACCTGCCTACTGACAAAAAATAAGTGCAATAAGCTGATAGTTCTGAGCAAAACTTTCTAGTCGTCGTGATTATTTTGTTTTACATTTATCCGATCTTACTATTGTTCCACCAATCAATTTTTTGAACCATGCAAAAAGTATAACTAACATCTACATAGAATAATCATTAGTACTAATGTCTTAACTATCTGTTTGGAATCGCCCAATAATTCCAAGTAACAGAATCTACATGTAATTTAAGTAGCAGAATCTGCTAACATTAGTTTCAGTGATACCACAAAAATGTCATGAGCAAAACTCTGTCTATATCACATAATATGTTAATAAATAAATGTAACAAAATAATTTTTAAGTAGAGTATTTTTCATTTAGTACTGAATACCATACCTTTTCATTTTTAGTATACGTCATAAGAGAATCGTACGCAGTAAAAAAGCCAAGCAAAAATCATGAGACATTGTTTTCAAAATAACTGTAAACAATTAAACCGTTAGCTAAAACTTGTCCATTTGCTATTCATTGTTTTCGTCTTTTCAATTTTTTCTTTGAAAGCTGAGATATCTACTGGCTTCCTGTTACAAATTTCTTTCTCAACTGGCAATTGCTGATGCTGGATTACTACAGTATTCTATGCTCCTACTTGAAAGAAAAAAAAAGTCATTGAAATCATCTTCTTTCAAAATTTATAAATACAAGTTTGAGTATACTCAAATGAGGTTCAGAGACACAAACAAATAGTTGGATTTTAAAATTCCAGCACTAAAATCACTATGTTTTTTAACATTTTAATAACGAATAGTGAAATTGAAATTGAGATTGGACATCTTTCAATTTGCTCTTAATATATGAACATATTTCTTAGTGTTAACACAGTGATAAAACTAATAATACATGTACACGTACGTATGTTGTGTAAAAATAGGAATCATAATCATAAAAATAATGATTTATTCAACTAGGGTACCCTCAATATTGGTAGTGCTCTTCCCAAGGGCCCTTGAGCTATGCAGGTGCCTTTAAGTGGCAGATACTACACTCAAACAGTAACATGATATAAATATGCCAGCAAATTTGATTCTCTGGTACTTGTACATTTCTTGAGTTTCTGCAGGTATAATTTCTATAATAGTTTTATGGCACAAAATTCTATTCATGTACCATTTTAAAATACTGTTGTTCTTGGAGAAAAAAATTAAAAAAAAAACTTGAAGTTTGTGCAATATATATGCAATTTTCACAATAGAGTGAAAAATGGCCCTGATAACCAATTCATGACAAATCTACATCACTAATTATACTGCCCAGCCTCAGGTGCAATGCCCAATGTAGACGATATATTCATATGGAGGGAAGTGTCATGGCATGAGAATTTACAAAGAATTATTCAGCAGTTTGATAGTCTTTTACAATTAAATATATACATAATTGATTGTCACACCAGTTAAAGGTCAAGATTGAGTTCTGGGAATGTTGAATACATTGAAACAAGACTAAATGTATGTACACAATATTTTCATGCTATGTCCAGATTTTAAATAGATCTTGAGTGAATAAATATGTTTAAATCTTGTTCTGTCATTTGAAGTGTATGCTCAGCCAGGTCACTCAAAGATTCTGAAATCACAGGTGTAACTATGCTTAATCCACATTGTTTTGAGGCATACCAAATAAAACACAAACAGGAATTCTTTCACATGAAACAAACAATTTTATAGAATGCTGATCATCCAATTTCTCCCTCATACCAGAACTCAAATTCTCTTTAATTCTCAGCTGAACCAGTAATGTATAATCATAATCATATTATCCTAAAAAAATGATTTATTTAGAAGGATACTGAAATATTTACTTACATATAATGTAATTAAGAGTACTTAATCAGACTAGACGATGTTCTGTATACTGCATACTGTATTCCAATGACCATGTCTTTCTCCGAATGCTCTGCACAAATGCTACCAAGAACGTCCTCATGCCTGGTTTCAGGACTATGCTAACAGGCAACTCTTTGGACACGATGATGTTCTGCGACTTAGCGTTGATCTCCACTAAGTATAGCCTATCACTGCACTCGCAGGACGCTTCTAACACAACACCGTTTGGTGTACGCCTCTCGTAAAGATACAGGCACGATGTCACTTCTTTCACGGTTGAAGTGTACGCGCTGAAAAATGACGAGATCTCGTGCCATTTTGGGGTAGAGCCGTACTCGGTGGCCTTCTTGGCAGCAGCATCCAATCTAGCAAGGGAGCAGACACAGAGTTTGGTGGCTACGCCCTTGTCTGCACACGCGCCATACTGACTGTAGGCAGTGAGGCGGTCGTAGCTGATGAGACGGAGCTGTTCTCTCGGCTGAGTGTTGGTCGAAGCCATTAGAGTGACAAAGAAGATCTCCTCGGTTTGGGACGCATTCTCCCCAGCTTTTATATGAAGATCCAACTTGATGACTATTGTATCGTCCTGTTGAAAATATCAGGAAGAGGTACATATTTATGAAAATGTAGACTATTTACTCTCATCCGAAAGGCTTTATATATATATATATATATATATATATATATATATATATATATATAAACCACCCCATTTCCTCTTGACAATGGGTAAAAAACAACCATATGTGAGAAACAAATTGGATATCCAACTAGAAGTATTAGTATATATCAGGGTCTAACAAGTAAAATTATTTGGGATATAAAAGGAAAGAATTTGAAAGAAAATACATACAGCTTAAGTATTTTAAAGACATTCAAAGTACCTACATGTACATATTCTGCAACTTTTATGTTACAGTCATAACTATTTATTTTTCAGTTGGTACAAAGAAAAAATGAGAAAAATGATCCTCTTCTCCCACTGGGTTGGTCTTCTTTAAAAATATAGAAATATTTTACATTTTGTATTTGTCTGTTGGAAATGAATCAATAGTGTAAGTCATGCCCAATTACCAAGGTGTCCTTAAAATCTCAATATGAGCATATTACTGAATATACAAAATGAGTATTTTGATGTTTTTTTTTTACTTCTTCTGTGTGTATGAATTGAAAACAAACAAATTCATATCAAGTCCCCCAAAATAGATAATTTAAAATAAATCTTCCCAACTATTCATCACAACAGAATTGATTGCCATAACCTCTTGAGAAAGTAGACATCCCTACATTTGAGATACTCACCCCATGAAAGTTCTCGCGCACATTCGTAAACCTAAGAGCTTGGAGAGGCTGACATCTTCCAAACCCTCTCCTGGCTTCAGGGTGCGCCTCTACAAACTGGTTCTGGATTGCATTATTCAGCTCCCCAAGCGCGAACTCTGCAAAGATCACTCTACTGCTGTCGTTGGAGACCCTGGAGTCATAATCCTCACAGATGCAGATGTTGGGTTGGATACGTGGGATGTGATCGCAGGTCCTGTTCATGGAAACCTCCTGCAGAAGTCCAGTTGGGTTGATGTCAAAGTTTTGATGGGATTCTGCGACTTTGGTCTTGAGACCTGGGTACGCTAGCGACCTGAGCATGTAGTGTATGTCCAAGATGCTGGTCAGCCGATCTTGATTGACCTCGAGGGCGTGGACCTGAGACGGAGAGAGGAATCGTCCAGCATTCTTTGAGAGCATAATAAACATTGAGGGATGGAACATCTCGATACGCCCTTCCTCCGATTTATGAATGAATGAGCCGTAAGCGTTGCCATGATCTGCAAGAAGGATGGTCATAGTGTTGTCTAATGATGCTGCAAATGTGAGATAATCAGCAAGAGCCGTGTCCAGCCCCTGGACTCTTATGCCGAGATCATCGTGACCGACATTGATTTCTGTGTAGTGGAAGAATGGAGTCCTTGAAGATTGTTGAGCTTTCTGAAGACTCTTGAGGTACTGCAGCATGTAAGTATGCTGGTATTCTCCGTTGTAACAGATGGCAGGTGGACCATGGAAAGGATCATTATGGTTGTTTCTGTGCAAGATCTCACAGCTTGCTAAAGCTAAACCCAGCTGATCAACTCCTCCCTCCTTCATGGCATCTAGAAGTTTCTGCCAGCGGAAGCTCAGCATCTCTTTTGGTGAATGCACCACAAAGTTCTTGGCAATTCCCCACTCCCAAGTCCAACAGAGATCTTCCATCCACAACGTTTCATACCCCATGTGCTTAAACCCTTCCAGAAGTACCTTGGTACCTACAGGATCAGGGGGCATGTCATGTACTCCAAAGGGCTCCTCTGGGTTGTACATGACTCCAGAGAACAGCACTTGGATGTTCTCGTAGGTGCGACCCTTCACAGACTGCACCAAGTTGTAGTTGAAAACACTGCCTGCTTTTAACTTATTAATTTCTCTTAAAGTATGCACTGTTCTAGGAAGAGATCGATAGAAGTGGCTATGTGAAACTGAATCTAGCAGAATCACATTGATGTTCAACCCTGGACTGCTACTTTGGGATTTGCTATGAGATTTCTGCTGCTTAGACGGAAGCAATAGCAGCTGTTGCGCCCATGGTTCATCATCAACGTCCTCTTGAAAGTAGTCCTTCTCAAATGCCAGGAAACTGTTCTCCACACCATCCTCAAGCCCTTCTTCCTCATCCTCATCGACATCATACGCCTGAATATTCTCCCCACCTTGTCCACCCTCCTGGACCTCCTGTAGCTCCAAGGGACACTTGATGAAGCAAAAGCCAAAGACTGCCTCTGGTTTGCCTGTGAGGAGCAGGTGCTGGAGGTGGGCCTGGAGTTCCTTCATGTCACTCAGCTCCTCCCAGTGTAGGACACCGATGGCCGGGTTAATAGTTCCTAGGGATACTGGTCCTGGACAGATTTCTTGGTCACATTCAACAGCCATCTCTTTGCCTTCTCCCTGGGGAAACAAATGAAAGGACTCAGTTTCAATATACTTTAGAACTTGTCTATTAAGGCACCCAAGGGAAGCAGAAAAGGTGACCAGTGTAGATACAGTATAGAAAACAGTTTCTACAATGAAATTAGATTTCTGTGGGGAGACAATATAAATGAACATTACAGACAGACGGCCTTTAAATAGTAGTGATCGCTATAAAGAAAGTTCCGACTGCACAGAGAAAATTAACTCTAGTCAAGTTGGTGATATTTTATATATCAGGTGATATGACCCGACATAGATAATTCCATATACAAATTGTTGTTAAAAATAAAAGTACCCAATGATTTTTAAGATTATTAAGGTTATCAGTCAATAAATGTTGATTTTGTAATTTGACCAAGGACAGTGTATATAAAAGGAATTTCACAATCCACATCACTTCTCACCTTTATTTGACACAGTTGGTGTTTTTCCTGATGGCTACAAGTTTCCACTTTTTGTGAAGTGTACAGTTCATGTGCCAGTTGGCATGACCCAGGTCGAGGCGAGATTCTCTTACATACCACATCTTGCGGTATAGTAGAGTTGCTATTGAATCTTGGAACTTCACACTCTGATGAATGGCTCACAAATTTCTGTATACAAAGAGACAACACAAAGGAATGAAAGGATTGGTAACAGGGAAATAATGAAGATATACCCATATTTTCACATTAACTTCATAAGTATTTTTCTGTTTTCAGAAGTAAGAAACACTTTCAAACTGATTTCTTGCAAATTTCCTACTGGGTAATTTGATATCAGTATGACCATCCATAAGAGTTCTACAAACTAATGTTTTATTTATTAAGAATATTTAATACTTTCATTCATGATGACTTTTGTTTTAATAAAGAAAAGAAAAACTATGCCAATGATCAGTAGAGAAATGGGGCAGTGTTTTTTTATTAAATTATGAAAAACATAAATTTTTCACATTTAAACAAATATTTCTTTTGGTACGATTTGGGGGCCAATGTGACCTTAAAATTGAGTCTTATTTTTTACAGACTTGGTATCAATAAATGAGCAATACTATAGAAAAGATACAATTCATGCAAAGTTGTGTCCCTTTATGCGGCAGTCTGAAGGTGCAGGGGACAACCAGTGATGCATAAACTCCAAAGCCAATATTAGCCAAGACCTTCAGAGTACAATGCTTTTAACAAACTCTTGTTATAACAATGCAATTTTCCCAGTAACACTTTTATTTTATTTTTTACCCTTGATATAACAAGGTTTCAATATAAAAAGATAACTGTTTTGGTCCCAAATAGTTGTAAGAACAAGGTTCCACTGCATAGAACCCGGCATACATTACCTCTTTGGGCAGGTACTCGCGCTCGATGAAGGCGCCGCTGTTGATGGTGTTGCTGTTCAGCCGTCCACTCTTGCCCGCCCCCGTCTTTTCCTCCACACTACTACTGCTCCAGATGCTCTGCAGAAGAAGCAGCACACTGGATACGGCCAGAAGGAAGATGCAACTCTTGAAGAGAAACGCCAGGGTGCAGCACTGACGTCTCAGGCGCACCATCTTGGAGTGATGGTACCACCAAGATGATGTCTCCATGAACAGTAGGAGGGTACTCAGAGGGTACTATTATCGATTCACTCAGCTCAGTCCCATATGCATCTCACCTCCATACTGCTGTAGGATTAATACAGATTGACATTAGTATCAAACAACCATATCCAAAGAGTGTCATAAATCATATAACTCCCCTTTTCATCTCGTCTTCCTCTTTACTTTGGCCTTGGCCTTATTTGTTTACTTTGACCTTGGCCTTATTTGTTTGCTTTTCTCCTTTCATATTTTGTCTAGGCCCTTTACTCTTGTCATTTATCTTCTATTTTCATCTTCTCTTTTCATCTCATTTTGTTTTAGACCTAGAGATCTATTTTCCTTTCATTATGTCTAGCCGTTCTATTTATAACTTTGTCTTTAAATCAAACATGTTTATAAATCATTAAATGTCCTCATTATGTTCTCTCTTGCTTCAAGCCTTCATTTAAACTATTCTATCCTTTGATTAGAGTTAGACTAGACTAGTTCGGTTTTTACTTAGTTTTTTTTTCTTCATTCTTTCGTCCATCTTCTCTTTCTACAATATTTACCCGGCATACCCTATATTTTGCAACCTTTGCTTTTGTTACGCCGTTCTTCTAATTCCTGCCAAACCCATCCTGCCCCGGTACTCCCCCTATTCCCTAAGTCGTAGCGAAAGCGGTGGCCAGGCAGAAGGCTGGCGTCAAAGCTGCAAAAGAATGCGGACCTTACATGAAATTCAGTATGTGGGAATTGGGATGTACGCACCGACTCACACAGAATCACACGTCACTCTCTCACTTCCTTAACTTGTAACATAATGGTTACACTGGTGATCACAGAAATTGGTTATGCAACTGAATACAACCTATATATAGGCCCCTATGCATTAATAAGAAAGATAAATGTGAAATATAATTAACTTACCTTTGATTACGCTCGCAAGTCAATGAAGGCAGAAGATGAATTCGTTAATCTTGAGGAGTTCAATGGTAAATTGCTCCTTAAACCTGGCGACTAATAAGCCTCCGACTAATAAGGAGAAAGCTAGCCACCAATACGGGAGCCTTTTAGTGTCTCCGAATCGTCCAATCGGAAATGAAAAAGAAAATTGTGCACGTCTCGGCTGACGGTAAAAGGCAAGAGGAGTAAGATATTAGATTGTTATGTTTTTAAAAACTATCGTATGACCTGGGGCGTCGCTAACGAAAGGGAGGGGGTTGGGAGGATCGGTGTGTAACACTCTACCTATCAGGACATTGTCGGGGAAAATAAGAAAAGGGGAGGGAAAAATGAGAGGGAAAGGGAAAGAGAAAAAAAAGAGGAAGGAGAGGAAAAATTGGAAAAGAAAAGAAAAGAAAAGAAAGGAAACGACAGAATATGATACTGTAGCAGAATTTTATGATTTTCAGGTGAATATCAAACAGACAAGAATCTCACATAATAGCAAACATGGTGTAGTAAAATATATGTATGTATTCCTTCCGCGTCCCAAGTTGTTTTGGGGACACTGACTAAAAACTGATGAATGTATCATGTTTCGTTGTATGTGCAGTTTACCATTCCATCTGCTTTCTGCTTTGAATTCAAAAGCTTGAATAAGCACTTTTTTAGTATTACAGTATTAATCTAAAAGCTAAAGCGTGTAACTAATGTATGTAGAAAGAAACATGAACATGAATGTTGTGCATTTTAAGGGAAGACAGTTTTAAAGAGTTTTAAAGTTATGAATTTCATAAAAACATGCATTAGGTCTATATTCTCTAAGTTCAGCAGATATTTACGTGGTGATATTTGTACAATGGTGGTATTTAATGTATCAAATTGACAGGAACCAATCAAGTAACGAGTAACAATATGAAAATAATTCACTGGTAACAATATTTTGCTTTTCAATTCAGTAAATAATAAAACACACTGGGTCTCTGCCTGCCCAAACCCATGGACGAATTACTGTTAGTTGTTGATTGATTAAAAAGACTGTTGATTAGCTTGATTTCAGAATGACATATCTATAGTTGGATAATCTTTGGATAATTACAAAAATGTTGATCATGAGCTCTATTAATATCTTCGAAACAGATCATAAAAATACAATAATATTGTGATAAATTTTGCAGGAAATAAATAACCAAAATCATGCAATAGCTTATTTGAATGATTAAAAACATCCGTGTGGTCTTGTATTATTTACCTCATTGGCGCGTGATTGTTTACCTGCAGGAAATTGTTTCCCCAGTAACGCCCCCACATCCCGGCCACCCCCACCCCCACTCAGTGTTATTTAGGTTACGCGTATGCATGTTCCCTCCCTGCTGGCCCCACATATATATACACACATACATAGGCGACGGGCCCGGCCCCCTGGATTTTTAATTTTTTTTTAGTTAGTGTTCACACGCCCCCCCCCCCCCCACCCTACTGAGCGAAACTAATGGTCTGTGCGATTTGCAAATTTCCGGGGGCTAAAACAAAAAAAAATTGTATGCTCACTGCAGGTGCTGCAGGTGCAGTTCAAAATTATTACACGCTTTATTCAAAATTCAACAGGTAATAAGACTCGCCCTCGAATTTATATACAAAACATAACAAAGGTGTGTGCCACGGGCAACGGGACACAGGGTTCGAACTTACACAGTGCAATACTTGAGCTTCATGATAAAGGAGGTCAAAAACATGGGGGGGGGGGGGACATTTGATATTGTGTCCCCTACCCTTGATATATATATATATATTTTTTTTTTTTTTGGGGGGGATGTTCCCCTGTTTCCCCTATTATTGACGCCCATGCATTGAGGTAAGTTGAAATCCCAATAATCCTTAACACCCGAAGACACTGTAAACTACACAAAAGGAATAACTGCTATATTCAAAAAGCATCAAATCAAATCAAATCATTTATTTTTCAATAAAAAAACAAATTACAATTATTGCTTCTCCACAATTCATTTCAGTCATGTTGTAATAGAGGTCGAATTATGCATAGGCCTACAAATAACTCCTTTTATGTATATAAAAAAAATGCAAAAACATATAATATAAAACTTAATTTAAACATATAACAGCAGATAATTTAAGAAAAGATAGATAGAAATATATAATTTAAACTAAAATATGTGTGATTCATTAGTTCAAGACGAAGTCGTTTACTCTGCGTTTGAATCGTCTTACTTTCCCCCCTATTCTTATGGTTAACGGAACATGAGAGTAACCATACAAAACAAAAATCAACCAAAGGTAATTACAGTAGTTTTGTCCGTCACCTATAATGACATGATTGAAATGTGCATATTACTTAATCCGAAAATGATTTTTTTTTTAATGGGATGTATCGAAATTGGCCTTGGGTTGATTTACAGGTTATTCCATAAATCAGAGTTTATCATTTTTATACATCTAAACACAAGAATAATTATTTCATACTTTTGATGTGCGACCATTAATTTGAAGGGAAATTATTTGATGACATTGTGAAAATTTTCCATGTCAGACACCAAATGCCTACTGATGCACCAGGGCCAGTACTATGAATTACTTAAGTTATGTATATAGCCAATGCCACTTACCTTGCAGCTATAATTATAGCTCAGTTAGGTTTTGTAAAGGCCCAGTTATAAATGAAAATCCACCATCCAAGGAAAGCGTAAGCATGATTAGATATATATCAAGTTTAAATCTCAAATAAATTTCAGTCCACAACATTTTTCAATTCAGTTTATTTGATTATTTCTTTAAAAATATATAATACCAATGAAATAAAGCAATTTGAGGTAAATATACGAAATGACATGTCGCAGAAAGACACATACACATAGATAGATAGATAGATAAATGGTATTTATTTATTCATTTCCATGTATCGCAGTTACAAGTAACTGAATTGTGCATGAATAAAACATTGATGGTGAAGACAATTATACATTTCAAGTGATATCACAGTAAAAAGTAACTGAATTGCACATGAGTAAATTGCTGGAAAAAAGCAAGTATACATTTCAAGATGTCACACTACAATCTACATAATTATGAAGAGCGTGCACCATTAATCTTATACAATATTTGAATTTAAAAATTTGAGTTAAAAAGAAAGAGAGATGGGAAAGCAGGAGAGAGAGAAAGAAAGAGAGAAAGAGAGAAAGAGAGAAAGAGAAAGAGAGAAAGAGAAAGAGAAAGAGAGAGAGAGAGAGAGAGAGGAGAAAGGGGACAGATGGACAGAGAGGGAAAACAATTATGTACATGTTGATAAAATACAAAGATACATTGCAAGACAAATATGAATATTATAAGGTGAACATTAGAGATATTAAGATATAAATATAGATATGCATCGCATTCTTCATGTCATAAAAAATACATTGACTAACTTGACTAAAAAAATCCTACCTCAAATTTATGAATTAATTATATACTAAGGAATATGAAATTGTAATTTGTTTCAGAGTATATTAAATACAATCATAAAAAAACTTTTGTTATACAAACGGATCAAATCTGGGATTGGGCTATTCTGCATACGTTTAGTTTTGCACCTGGGTTCAGGGATCTTGTTAGTTCTTCGCAAAGTTCTATCGTGTGCTCTTTGGGGTATAAATTGTTTGAACTGGTCTGTGCATGAAAGAGTTTTTTTAAAGAAGGTAACACATAAGTCATTTCGACGACTTTCCAATGTTTGTAATTTCGATTTAGTAAGAGCGTTTGCGTAACTATGATAATCCTTTCCAAAGATAATCCTCAATGCACGTTTTTGTAATCTTTCTATGCGTTGTTTTTGTGCACTAGTGAGACCTCCGCTCCAAACTTGAGTAGCATATTCAAGGATTGGGCGAATATAGCCAATAAAAATAGTAATCAGATCTTCATGTGAAAGACCGAACTTCCCCAAAGAACGGAGCATATATAGTTTCGCATTCGCTCTTTTTTCAATATCTCTGACATGGGCTTCCCACTTCAAGTCGTTTTGTATCGTGACACCAAGTAATTTCACCTGTGAAACAGTTAAAAGAACACAATTTTCGAGAATAATGGAAGACTGATTGACTGGTACTCTTGAAAAACAAATGTCCATTTTAATACACTTTGTAGGATTCAATTGCATTTTATTAATATCTGCCCACAAAGATAGACATTCTCACTATGAACATGACTGACAATGAGAGCGGACAAAATATACAGTTCCTCAGGTAGACAAAGGAACATCCCTTACTGCTATTATGTAAAAATGTGTAGAACAGGTGTCACATGCATATTCACCTTTTTACATAATAGCTGTGAAGGGATGTTCCTTTGTCTACTTTGTCCGCTCTCATTGTCAGTCATGTTCATAGTGTCTACAGCTTCTTGCATGTTTGAAATTTGGTTTGTTTTACGACACTCAACTAGGGTTAGATCATCGACATACTTCGTACCCTGGGGCACACCTGCATTTATTTGACACCATTCTGAGAGATCGCTGTGATAGCGAACTCTTTGTTTACGTTCAGAAAGAAAATCAGATATCCAGTAAACTACCGCTGGTCGTACACCGATTTCAATTAACTTTTTGATGGCAACTGTATGATCTATTCTATCAAACGCTTTTTGAAAATCTGTGAGAAGTATCGTCGATGACGTTTTTGGTACCTCAGCATTTAAAAAAACATAATGAAGAATATTAATCAAACAGTGTGAGATCGATAAACATTTCTGGTTTCCAAACTGACAGGGGCAAGGGTGTCGATTTGTATCCGTGGTTGGGGGGGATGATAGGTGCCAAAATATTTTCGGCAATGGATCAAAGCAATCAAGAGGTAGAAGCGTGTGGCAAGTTGCACCCCTCCCAAGCGCGTAGCCAGGATTTCATTTTAGGGGGCGTAGTGAGCACGCGAAGCGCGGTCCCCAGGGGGTTGCGTGCAGGGAGGGGAGTCCCCCCCCCCCCGCAAAGCGCGGAAGCTTTGACGTTTCACTAAATTATTAGAGAAAGAAGACGATTCGTTGGACCGTTCTCGACTCTTAATCCTTGTTTGAATCAAGTTCCCCTTCCTCCGCGCATAGCGCGGAAGCTCTGACGTTACATCAGATTATTAAAGAAAGAAGACGATTCGATGTACCATTCTCGTCTCTTAATCCTTGTCTGAATTCATTTTCGCCTATTCCTGCGCGAAGCGCTGAAGCTTTCCCAATAGAGAAAGAAGACTATTTGTTGTATCGTGTCCTTCATGAATTCAGTTTCTCCCCTACCACGCGAAGCGCGGAAGCTTTGACGTTTCACTAAATTATAAGAGAAAGAAGACGATTCGTTGGACCGTTCTCGATTCTTAATCCTTGTTTGAATCAAGTTCCCCTTCTTCCGCGCGAAAGCTCTGACGTTTCATCAGATTATTAAAGCAAGAAGACGATTCGATGTACCATTCTCGACTCTTAATCCTTAATGTTTGAATCAAATTCCCCCTTCCCCGCGCGAAGCGCGGAAGCTTTCACATTAGAGAAAGAAGACGATTTGTTGTATCGTGTCCTTAACGTTTCAATAAATTATTACTCTTAATCCTTGTCTGTATTCATTTTCGCCCATTCTGCGCTTAGCGCGGAAGCCTTCACGTTTCATTAAATTATTCGTAAAAGAAGACACTTCGTTGTATCGTGTACTTTGACGTTTCATTTGATTATTACGCTTAATCCACGTCTGAATTCAGTTGCCCCCTAACAGCTTTGCCCTTTTCACTGAATTATTAGAGAAAGAAGACGATTCGTTGTACTGTTCTCTATATTAATCCTTGTCTGAATTCAGTTTCCCCACTGAAAATAATTTATGTTACAATTAAGTTGTGACATAATAATCTTTCTCCAAAAATGAAAAATCTTTTAGGAAATATCAGGAAATAAAATGAGTGAAAAAAACAAAAATAAAGATACAATGACGTGAATTTTAAAAAGGGTGAACGGAAACAACCTAACAACTAGAGAACTGTTTTATAAGTCATACTAATGTCCGAAAATCTTTCTCCTTGTCTCCGATCTCATCACGAAATCGTCACAGAGTTCATCTATGTTTACACTGTCCAGGATGCGTCTTATTTTTTCGTACCACGGCGAGGCCGGATTCCTGTTTTATCATGAATATTCATTAGGCGGGGTCGGGGAAAGTCTCGATTCTCTTAAATATTCATATTGAGGTGGGAATGCACGACGCGCGCTATACTCGCACAAAGTGAGAAGATTTAGTTCACGGAGAATGCATATGGGTGAGTAATTGATTGAAATAGACCTCTAGTCTAGTCTAGATTAAGAGAATTTAGTCATTAATTTGAAAAAGCTGTAATTCGTGATCTACTGTAATTTCTTTACATTTTGAGACTGTTCTCAACAGATTTGTGGGGAAAAGTCTAGGAAAATATTTCTCTTGAAATTGCACTTTGATTTTCATCGTCGTGAAGTAGTTTGACTGCGGTTTGCCTTCATGTCACCCTTTAGAGCCCCGGGGTTCCGGCAGGCCCACGTTGGGGAATTTCGGTGCTCATCTGCATCAAGATAAAACTTTCTGATCAGGTTTTATTCCAAATTTGATCGTCATCGTGAATATAATTCATTATAAAATGGCTCTAGTATTTTAAGCATCGTGATTGGTCAATACGCGTCACATGACATTGAAAAAAATTTGATGCAAGCACGATTTTGCAGAAATGAGTGCAGAAAAAGCGCAGTAAAAAGTTATATTGCACGGTGCGTACGCGTGACCATGGAGATCCAGTGCGCGCGCGTACGTGTAGTACGCGCTCCCTCGAGTTGCATTGCGATTATTGTAGGCTACGCGTAGCTAATATTGTACGCTCCACCATGATCCCCAGCGCGCGCAACGTACGCGTAGCTAGCTCTAGCTAGCTAGCTAGAGCGGCCAGCGGGGTATTATTAAAAAGCAAATTTTTATTTTACTTTTGCCTTGGATTTAGGCCTGTTTTGACTTTTGGATTTTATAATGAAGCCAGGAATTTCAGCTGTCTGATGTAGACTCGTCTCTAGACCCACTGTATGGATTTTATTTTTAATCAAGGCAATGAATCCCATTGACTTTTTGGTAAGCCTGCAAGGTCTTAGTCTAATTAGAAGTAGAACCAACATAACTCTAGATCTAGATCTAGATCGAACTCTCGTAGACTCTAACTTATTAGATCTAAAGTTTCGTTTTTGCTATTTGTGTCGCTATTTTATAAAACAAATAACGCACTTGACCCTGTTGTGCAAAACGTAAATGCAGTAAACGCTCGGTTTCTTCAGATGGTTCGCACTGTCAACTCGCCGCAAGCGGCTCGTTACAGAGCGGCACCAATCTAAAGAAACCTCGCGCGTACTGCATTCACCGCTATTGCACTCTGGGACGTGCGTTATTTGTATACCAATCATCCATTGAATTTAAATCTAGATTTAACGTTACACCTGTTGCATACGATGTGGGGTATTATGACGTCAGAAGCGAAGTTTTGGTTATTTTGGGTTTAGCCATAGAGGGCAGTTGCGAATTTGTTAGGGAAACTAAAACACGTTGTTGCAGTTAGTTATCGGCACTGAAAGTGCACCATTTTTGGGTATTTTGACACAAGCCCAATGTTGTGAGTATTTATTTACCTCTGTTTATTGAAATATGATGACTATTGTTGTGTTTGATGCTATTGGTGATAAAAATGAAGAAATGCAAATAGTGTAAAATTAAGTAAGAAAATTGTTACTCACGTACGTAAATTTACGTTGTGTGTGGGCATGCAGTTGTGTATAAAGTCATTGGGTTAGAATTAATTTCGGTAAACGTAAAGAAGACAGATATGAATATGACAGAAAAGTTGTATTATTATTAGTTTCAGTGGATTATGTTAGAAATGTATGTACAGTATAAGCTGTCCAATATTCAGTTGGTTTTTTTGGATTAGTATGAAAGACAAAATGTTCTATAAAGAGTAGTTGACAGAAAGTAGGTCAGGTATGCCAGGGGTCATTATAGATTGGTAGTCTTTCGTGCAGCCTGTTATTAAGATTTAGGTTACCACTAAATGATATGTTGGGCCTATTATGCTTTGGTAATTAATAGTGAGTCAATAGGTTGTATCAAAGGAGCTATGAACTCATCTTAGCAGAAATATGTAAAGATATTTCCTAACTCATATTATGCCATTTATTTACAGTTATTTACAAACCTGTTTATTATTTGACTGGATAAGATAAACAAATGTTGGATAGATTATTTGATTGTCATATCAGCTATGCTAAGTAGCATATTGGATGCATTATTCTAGTAATGCTTATGATTGTGTTTTTTATCTTTTATTAAAGGTTGAACCTTGCACCTGCCAGTTTGGAGTCTTGGTATCACAAAAGGGTGTCGCTGTGTTATTCATTCGTCAATGGTGTCTTTTGGTTAAGTGAATTAATCGTCAATCGTCAATCGTCAATCACATCAGTTCAACAACAGCTTGGTAGTGAGAGCTACAAGTCAAGAACGTCAAGATGAATACCATCAGTGAAGATGGTAATAATGAGACTGTGAAGTCCAGTGACGAGCTGGTTGGCCTTGGTGGTGCTGTTAACGTTGATGACATCACACCGCATGATTCAGTGAGCCAATGTGGGGGAAGCACTACTATCTCCACGTCATCCAAGTCCTCAAGGCTAAAGGCTATGGCGAGAAGGGCTGCTCTTGAGGCAGAAGCTGAAGCCTTAAGAGAGCAACAGGAGCTCGAGATGGAAGAATTCCGCTTGAAGCAACGCAAAGCCCAGCTGTTGCTGAAAACCCAGTTAAAGGTTGCTCAAGCTGAAGAGAGGGTGTATCAGCAAGATAATGCTCCATATGCACAGTCTGTTGCAGGAACAGGTGGACCTACTCCCGCAAGGTCATCCGTTGTGCCTTCAATCACGAATAACTACAAACCTGTTATGATGAAGCCAGATGAGGACGAAACTGTACCTTCTCCTCACACACAGACGGAAATGCTGCTGCTGCAATTACTGGAGCAAGGACAACGACAACAGCGGGGGCTGTTAGAGTCTGTATCCCTTCCTCATGCCACTCTGTCTACCTATCAAGGTGATCCGCTGAAGTACCATGAGTTTTGGAGGTCCTTTGAGAACAGTGTTGACCAAACTTCAGTAGACGACGCTGTCAAGCTGACACGCCTCCTGCACTATTGTGCTGGCGACGTTAAGAAGTTGCTTCAACCATGTATGATTATGAAGCCTACAGAGGGCTATCACAAGGCAAGGATTCTACTCAAAGAAAAGTATGGAAATCCAGTAATGATTGCTCATGCCTGGCTTAGAAAGGTTACTGAAGGAAAGAACATTGCTGCACAAGACAAACATGGACTAGCTGAAATGGCGGATGAAATTCAGATTTGTGTGCAGACGCTAGAAGCAGTAGGTCAGGCATCTGAGCTGACTTCTCAACATGTTCTGCTGAAGATAGTAGAGAGGCTACCATACCATCTGAGGACAGGATGGTTAAAAGTTGTAGGAAGAGCTAGAAAAGAGGGTCGACTTCCAGCTATTACGGATTTGGTTGCATTCTTGCAACAGATTGCAGATGAAGAGAATGACCCTGTCTTCGGTAGGCTGACAATTAGAGATCAAGGCAGTAAGATGTCAGCATTTAAGAAGTCTGGGAAGACATCGAGAGGGGTCTTTACTACTAGTACAGATGCTGAAGGCAGCAAGACACGGAGCTGCATTCAGTGCGGTGGAGAGCATTCCTTATTCGGCTGCAGTGAGTTTAAGCAACTCAAGATTGAGGACAGGCTTAAACTGGCCCAGAAGGAAAGATTGTGCTACAATTGTTTGAAGAAAGGTCACATGACCAGGGACTGCAAGTTAAATAGGACATGCTCAGTAAGTGGGTGTAACAGGAAACACACCAAGTTTCTACACCTTATCAGACAGCCTTCACAGACTGATAGCACGGAGTCTCGGAGGGATATCGGAGAGTCATCAAGTGATGCCAGGAATTCACCAACGTCATCTGAAACGGAGGCAACTACTCATCACTCGTCATCCTCTCATGTTGCTGAAGAAAGTTGTAGTGTCATAGGGGCCGGTAGTAAAGTAGTGCTACCTATTGTTCCCGTTCGAGTACGAGCTAGAGGGAAAGAGGAGTATTTTGACACTTATGCCTTGTTAGACACATGTTCAACATCAACATTCTGCACTTTGGAGTTGACGCGTAAGATCGGGGCTGAAGGCACAGAGCAGAGCCTTTCCATGTCGACTCTAGACAAGTCAAGGATTGTCACAACATGTAAAGCAGTCAACCTGGAAGTTGAAAGTCTGTCAACTCAATATAGAGTCAGTCTCCATCATGTATTAGCCAAAGAGAAGATAAATGTTAGCAGTGCACTTGCTGCTGATAGAAGTGACATTCGCCAATTTGCCCACCTTGCAGATCTGAATCTACCGGCTGCTAGACCTCAAGACGTCATGCTACTAATTGGACAAGATGTGCCAGAAGTATTGGTACCAAAGGACGTTAAGTATGGCGAACCCGGGCAACCTTATGCTGTGAGGACGGCATTAGGATGGACCGTGAATGGACCAGTTGGGAACCGGCACAGAGACCATGACATATCGTCAAGCTTTATTTCCAGTGATGCTAATTTGGAGCTTCAAGTGGAAAGGTTCTGGTCACTTGAATCAGGGTCGCTAGCAGGACAATCTAAGTGTATGTCTGTCAATGACAAGAGAGCTCTGAGAATTTGGGAGGATAGTATCCAGAAGAAGGGTGATCACTACCAGTTGTCTATACCCTTCAAAGAGAGACCCCAAGAACTGGCTGACAACATATATGTAGCAGAAAAAAGGCTACAGAGTCTTGGTAGGAGATTGAGGCGAGATGAGGATCTACACAGACGATATACCAAGGCTATGTCAGGATTGGTGGAGGATGGATATGCAGAGAGAGTAGAAGAAAGGAATGCAGGTTCAGGCAAACCTGTTTGGTATCTTCCTCACCATCCTGTTGAAAACCCTAACAAGCCGGGCAAGACAAGAATTGTGTTTGACTGTGCATCTACATACCAGGAAAGATCGCTCAATGATGCAGTTTTGCAAGGCCCTGACTTAACAAACACACTTCTGGGTGTTCTCTTGAGGTTTCGACAGGAGCCGATTGCCATTATGGGGGACATCCAAGCGATGTTCCATCAAGTACAAGTCCCGCCTGATGAAAGAGATATGCTGCGGTTTCTCTGGTGGCCAGAAGGAGATATTGAGAGACAGCCAATGGTCTACAGGATGTGTGTACACCTCTTTGGAGGGACCTGGTGTCCCAGTGTTTGCAGCTTTGTACTGAGGCATACCGCTGAAGACCAAGCCGAAGAATTCTCCCCAGACGCAGTAAACGTGGTAAAACGCAACTTTTATGTTGACGACTGCCTGGTATCAGTGAAGGAAGAAGATAAAGCAGTTCAACTCGTAGATGAGCTGAAGAGAATGCTGAAAGGAGGAGGTTTCAACCTCACAAAGTGGCTAAGCAATAGCCCAAAGGTAATGGAGTCTGTGCCTGCTCATGACAGGGCAAAGGAAGTGGAAGGACTCGACTTAAGTTATGATACCTTACCGATTGAGAGGGCCCTGGGTGTCAAGTGGAACATTGAACTAGATACCATGACGTATGGAATCACCCCGAAACACAAGCCCTGTACCCGTCGTGGAGTGCTGAGTGAGGTGTCCTCGGTATATGATCCGTACGGATTTGCAAGCCCATATGTGTTGAATGCCAAGATCATTTTGCAAGAGCTTACGGCTATGAAATTGGATTGGGATGAGCCATTGCCAGAGAAGCAGCGTGAGAGCTGGCTGAACTGGAAGAGAGATCTGCTGCTTATGGAGGATTTCAACATCAGCAGGTGCCTAAAGCCTCATGATTTCGGAGATGTGACGAAGTACCAATTGCACCACTTTTCTGATGCTTCAGAGAGGGCATATGGTGTGGCCTCTTATCTCCGAGTGACGAACCAGGAGGGCAAGGTCTATTGCAGTCTAGTAATGGCCAGGACTCGGCTCACTCCGCTGAAGAGAGTTACGATACCTAGACTGGAATTGATGGCAGCGACGCTTGCTGTGAGACTCGATGGTATGCTGAGACGTGAGCTAGACTTCACCCTGAGTGACTCTGTGTTCTGGAGTGACAGCACTATAGTGCTCCAGTATATCAAGAATGTGGAAAGACGATTCCACACATTCGTCGGAAACAGGATTGCAGTAATCCATGAAGGATCTGACCCAAAGCAGTGGCACTACGTCAACACTCGGCAGAATCCGGCTGACGATGTCTCAAGAGGGATGACAGCTGAGGCGTTAACAACCAGCGAGAGATGGGTGAGTGGACCCAGCTTCTTATGGTGTGAGAATGAGTCAAGGCCTGCAAGTCAAGTCTTAAATGATGTCAGTCTAGATGGCGACCCTGAAGTTAAGAGCAAGGACAAGGCTGGGGTTTATATGACAACTCTCTCAGAAGAAACTGCCTTAATGAACAAACTTCTTGAACACTACTCCTCGTGGCACAGGTTGAAGAAAGCAGTTTGCTGGCTACGGAGGTACTTGAAATGGCTGAGATGTAAATGTACACAGGGTCCTGAAGGCATTTCAGCTGAACTTTTGCATGGAAGCTTGGTGGTGGAAGAGATGAAGGACGCAGAGGAGAAAATTCTGCAATATGTACAAGCAGTCAGCTTCCCTCATGAGATGTCAACCTTGCAGGCTGAGCAGAATGACAGTGCACACCAAGAACAGAGCTGTAAATTGGTCAAGAAGACAAGTCCAATCTACAAGCTAGACCCAAGGATGATAAATGGCCTACTGAGGGTAGGAGGAAGGCTTGGCAAGGCAATGTTGCAAGAGGAGGCGAAGCACCCAATTATACTTCGCAATGATAGTCATGTCGCCAAGCTTATCCTGAGTGAAATCCATGAGGCATCGGGACATAGTGGCAGAAATCATATGTTGTCTTGCCTCAACCAGAAATATTGGATTCCTGCTGCTGGCTCTGTGATCAGAAGGATACTGACTAGATGTGTTGTGTGCAGAAGGCAGCGAGGGAAGGTTCTTGAGCAAAAGATGGCGGACTTGCCAGTTGACCGGCTTATTTCAGATGAGCCCCCTTTTTCAAGAGTTGGAATTGATTATTTTGGACCGTTGGAAGTGAAAAGGGGTCGGAGTGTCGTAAAGAGATATGGGGTGCTATTCACATGTCTTACTGTGAGAGCAGTGCACCTTGAGATGGCAGATTCCCTTGACACAAGCTCTTGCATTAATGCTATCAGACGCTTCATTGCACGCAGGGGAAATGTGAGAGAAATTAGATCTGATAACGGCACTAATTTGGTTGGAGCAGAGAGAGAACTGAGGACCGAAATACAAAGTTGGAACCAGGCTCAGATACATGATACATTGTTGCAGAAGAATATCAAATGGACATTCAATCCACCCGCAGCTAGTCATCATGGAGGGGTGTGGGAACGCCAGATCCGAACTGTGAGGAAGCTGCTGTGTTCCTTGGTTAAGCAGCAAACCCTGAATGATGATTCATTGCATACACTCTTCTGTGAGATTGAAAGCATCATGAACAGCCGGCCAATCACTGAGGTGTCCAGTGATGTAAATGATGTGGAAGCCTTAACTCCGAATCATCTGCTTCTACTCAATGCAAAATCACCACTGCCTCCCACAACTACCAGTGAAGCAGACAACTATGCCAGGAGGAGATGGCGCCAGGTGCAGCTTTTAGCGGATACCTTTTGGTCGAGATGGGTGAAGGAGTACTTACCACGGTTGCAAGAGCGGCAGAAATGGGCTACTTCACGACGCAATATTCAGGTCGGCGATCTAGTTTTGGTAGTTGATGAGCACGCACCACGTAACTGCTGGCAGATAGGAAGAGTGCTTCGAACCATGCCAGACCGAGAAGGCAACGTTCGGCAATGCGAAGTGAAGACGCAAACTAGCACACTTCGAAGACCTATCGCTAAGCTCTGTTTGCTCCTGGAAGTGGATTCCTGAGATTTTATGTGTTAAATCGCGTTAAGGTGATATCATAATAATGGATCATGGTTCATTGGATGGCACATGGATCTGCAATATTTGTGGTGTAATTTAAAATAAGTGTTAGAAGTGCGAGCCTAGCAACGCCTCCCCTTTATGATATATTAGTGGACCGCTGTTTATTGGATGGATTCAGTCACTCGCCGTAAGTTTCTCAAGTTTAGTAATTTAGCGGTCTTCGTTATCGCGGTCTTACATCGCAAAGGATTTCTTCTGACACAAAAGGGAGAACTGACCATACCGAGATTGAACGCTTTCGCAAAGAAACATTAACATTCAGATTGATAAACACTATAAGAGTGAAATTTGATACATCGAACAATGACAATCAGAAAAAGGATTGTTGGAGATATATCCCATGGAAGGACTGATAGTTGAATATTTAAATATTAATTCATGCATGAAATATGTTTTATAATATGTATACATAAGATATTGGTAGAAATACATGCAACTCCTGTTGTTTCCCTTTTTTGTGTGCATTGAGGCCAAATATCAGATTTGGGGTTATAAAAGGAAAACAACAAAAAACAACCAAAAAAAACAAACAAAAACAAACAAACAAATAAAACATGACAAGGGTTGCAGTTATTTCACATGTGCAGAAATTTCTATGTTATGTTTATATGCAGGTTGTATCTGCTTGACAACATAATCCATATGGTGACATATGGAGACTGAAAAGGAATTTTCATCAAGAGTAGTTAAATCCTAAAATGTATCCAAAGCTACTGTTTGTATTAGGAGTAAAAGGAAAGGAAAATTTGTCTGAAATTTCAAAGATATGTATATATGTTAATATAAACTTGATACAGTTTGGAGAAAATGATTAAGTACAGCCAGTGAAGATTTAGAAAATGTTATTATCAGTTACATACACGATGGAAGTTATTTGCATAAGAAATACCTTTACCGTAGATGAAAGGGTTTGATTTATATGTGTATAAATAGTGGAGTACGTTTTATTTTTACATTTATGTGCTTTTTCATAGTATGTTAACAGATTTAAATGGGATGTTTGTGTTATTAACCGAAATACAATTTCTATGAAAGGGTTGTATGATAGGATAAGTTATGTAAATGTTCATTGAATGTTCACATTTAAGGGGCCGGAATGTTGCATACGATGTGGGGTATTATGACGTCAGAAGCGAAGTTTTGGTTATTTTGGGTTTAGCCATAGAGGGCAGTTGCGAATTTGTTAGGGAAACTAAAACACGTTGTTGCAGTTAGTTATCGGCACTGAAAGTGCACCATTTTTGGGTATTTTGACACAAGCCCAATGTTGTGAGTATTTATTTACCTCTGTTTATTGAAATATGATGACTATTGTTGTGTTTGATGCTATTGGTGATAAAAATGAAGAAATGCAAATAGTGTAAAATTAAGTAAGAAAATTGTTACTCACGTACGTAAATTTACGTTGTGTGTGGGCATGCAGTTGTGTATAAAGTCATTGGGTTAGAATTAATTTCGGTAAACGTAAAGAAGACAGATATGAATATGACAGAAAAGTTGTATTATTATTAGTTTCAGTGGATTATGTTAGAAATGTATGTACAGTATAAGCTGTCCAATATTCAGTTGGTTTTTTTGGATTAGTATGAAAGACAAAATGTTCTATAAAGAGTAGTTGACAGAAAGTAGGTCAGGTATGCCAGGGGTCATTATAGATTGGTAGTCTTTCGTGCAGCCTGTTATTAAGATTTAGGTTACCACTAAATGATATGTTGGGCCTATTATGCTTTGGTAATTAATAGTGAGTCAATAGGTTGTATCAAAGGAGCTATGAACTCATCTTAGCAGAAATATGTAAAGATATTTCCTAACTCATATTATGCCATTTATTTACAGTTATTTACAAACCTGTTTATTATTTGACTGGATAAGATAAACAAATGTTGGATAGATTATTTGATTGTCATATCAGCTATGCTAAGTAGCATATTGGATGCATTATTCTAGTAATGCTTATGATTGTGTTTTTTATCTTTTATTAAAGGTTGAACCTTGCACCTGCCAGTTTGGAGTCTTGGTATCACAAAAGGGTGTCGCTGTGTTATTCATTCGTCAATGGTGTCTTTTGGTTAAGTGAATTAATCGTCAATCGTCAATCGTCAATCACAACACCTTAAAATAATCTATGAAGTATGATTTCTTTAATAATCCAAGAGGGTTAATTCTTGTTTATATCTTTAGTAGATGTCGACTCTGTTGGCTATAGATCTACTAGTATTAGATCTATATTAGATCTAATACTAGATCTATATTAGATCTAGTATTAGATCTACTAGTATTAGATCTACTAAGACTAAGTGCTATCCGTTCGCTCAGTTGCATCATTGGTGCGTGTCAACTTTTAGACCAAAATTGTTCGTGACCATGGATAATCAAACGGCTCCAATTCCAAACCATATTTCATTTAGACGTAAACCTGGAACTTATTAATAAAAATATTCAAAAACAAACAAACTAGACCAAGGATTCATTTATTTAATGTTCAGATGTTGTGTGTGTCCAGTGTGCTTGTCAAGTTGTCATAACTTTTCTAGATCTAGACCTACAGGTATATTAAAGATTTTTTCTTCTCCAAAGTGTGCAGTTCATTTGATAAATCTATTTTTTGTTGGACGTTGTATAAGAGAAGACCCCTAGGGTAGTCGACAATTATGTTTACTTATACGCAGAGGCGGCGGAGCAACTTCCAAAGTGGGGGGGGGGGGGGGGGGCACCAACAAAAAGGGCACTTTCTTGAAAAAAGGGCACCTTCAGAGGGAAAATATACCATTTTTTTTTTACATTGGTATATACCCCTATTTTGTGATTACATTATCAGGGATGATTTCAGTATTTGTTTCTCTTAATACAGCATTTAAGATATTGCTTAAGTATCATACTTTGCAGTTTTTGGCTTGCAGTGCGAAAAATTACGTCTTATAAAGAGGAAAACCCAATCCTGATGGGGTTATATAAGCACAATCTCATAACGGAAGACTGAATAGATCTGTGATAAGTTACATAATTATAACATCTATAACTATGGGCAAGCGTAGCGAGCGAGCTTTGTGGGAAATTGCCTTTAGTCGCTTGAAATTAGGGACACGTTTAATGATGAGAGGAAAAGGGGACACTTATCGAAAGGGTTAAGACACTTATCAGAAAAGAAAAGAAGCATGTGTCAAAGTACAAAGGCTAATTATCAGAGGTGAAAATGGGGCACTTCTTACACCTAAACAAAGAGGCATGCACCAGGGATGATAAGAACATGGGCATTTGTCGACGGAAAAGAGGTACCCATCAGATTTTGATAGGGGGCATTTATAAGCAGTGAAAAGGGGCATTTATGAAAAAGGGATAGGTTCTTTATAAGAAAGGAAATAGGGTACATATCATTGTTAAAAGGGTAAAGAGAAGGGGAAGTGGCTCTTATTAAAAAGAAAAAGTGGCACATGTTTAAATAAACGGGGCACTTATCAAAGACGAAAAGTAATACCGGTAATTGTGATAAGGGGTAAGGGTGCTTATAAGGAAAAAAGGCATTATATAGGAAGGAAAAGGAGGACGTGTCAAAATAAAAGGGGCATTTATAAGAGATGAAAAGAGTACTGACTAGGAGGGGAAGGGGTGCTTGTCAAAGTAAAACAAGTATCTCTCGGAAGTGAATAGGGTCATTTACAAGAGATGAAAAGGGGCACTTAAGAGAATGAAAAGGAACTATTTTCATAGATGAAAAGGGGCATTTATGAGAAGGGAAAGGGCCTATTTTTAAATGGGGGCACTTATAAGAAAAAGGGGCACTTATTAAAAATGAAAGGGAGCACATGTGAAGATATAAGGTGTGCTTATCCAAGTTAAAAGGGGTAGTTATTAAAAGGGGAAGGGGCACTTTAAAAACTTAATAGGGGCACTTGTCAGAGTAAAAGGGGCACTTTCCTATGTAAAAAGGGGCACTTTTCCTATGCAAAAAGGGGCACTTTTAGGGTACTTGACCAAATGGGAGGGCACTCTGCCCCCCCCCCCCTCTCGGAGCGCCGCCTCTGCTTATATGGTATGTAGTCCACCTCTTCTTGTTATAATAAACTAATTCTACTAAGTACTGCTTCGTGTTCATAGGCCATAGAAACCACTGTTTGATGCACAAGTTAAATCTTCCATTTAGTTTTACTTTGTACTGTGGTTCATTAAATAGGAATGTTGATTTCCACACCATATTAAAATTAAGGCCAACCATGACATAAAAATATCTATTAATTTGAATTATGCTAGATCTATTTTATTTTGTTAAGGAGAAAGGGATGCCTTGATTGTCGTATTGATTTTCTTCTTCTTTTTGTTCCAAAAGATTGAAACTGAAGAGCTGGAAGGAGGACATTACAACATCTCTTATATTTGCAAGATGAAGCAGAAAGTCCCATGCAGGTACAGTTATCAGGTTATTTAGCACACACATATTAAACGACCACCTATTAATTCACTCAAAAGGAAATGGAACTAAGTTGACATTGCAAGCATATATAGTGGAGGGTATATTTTATTCTAGTTCTGCACCTAGTATACAAATATTGATGTCTTTTCTTTCTATGTTTACAAAGGAAAATTTGTCCTTATTTACAGGAGGTCCTGTGTTTAGAAGAGCCATATCAAATGCACATTGTAAGCACTACATGTAGGGTATACACAGGACCCCTCATTTTTTTTATTTGTAAGGGGTACTTTCACTTCTTGAGCAATGAAGATGAAGAAGAACACAAAATAAGATTGATAAAAGTCTGTTTATAGGATGTATTATGGTTGATATGTATCCATCAGTATCAGTTTTTAATTGAAATACATGTACCTACTTTGTTTTCTCTCATGTAGGATGATGCCTCTCTACAGTGGATGATGAAGGCATTCTGGTTTGCAAACTCAGGAGAGGAACAAAGAACAGATGTTGACGGGATCATATCTAGAGATGCGGGCCTACTACACTTCATACGAGCAAGTGTGCTAATATACATGAAGGTACCCCCAATAAATTTTTGTGGAACAAATGTCATGGAGAAAATTATAGATCTGAAACAGATATTTTTCATTGTCAGTTGACTTGTAAAAGAATAATTGACTTAATATCACAATTGTAATTTAGATTAAAAATTAAATGTCAATATAGATGAAATATAAGTCTACATTACGTATGTTTCAGTAGCATTATTTCCAGTACATTCTCTGGTCAAAGTTGTTTGGTCATTTTATGTCCCATACTTAACCGAGTATTATTCAATTACCGGTATGAGCACGAGTTGTATTACATTGTATTACTTATTTCATACCTTGTCTGATCCGAGCTCCAGCAGGCCTATCGTCTTAATGGGATCATCAGTAATAATTTAAGATGCGGTCAGTATTTAAACTAGTCTTGTACAAAAAATAGTTTAGGTTTGCCCACTAGAACCCCAAGTGAATTTCAGTCCTTCCTTTTTCTGAGCAGGTATCAGGGTGTATGTTATTAGTCATTGTTGATTTTTTTATATCTTATTTCATTTTTCCATTCAACAGACTTGGGTTATATTTTTTTCTGAAAACTAGGCTACAACTTTAGTGATGGATGCAGAAGATATCTACATGAGACTACGTCTTAAAGATGCCACCCTCATATAATGAAAGAGGACAATAGAGATGGGTTTAAACTGGAATATTTACATGATATTTATTTGTTATTTGTATTATATGTTTGTAGAATACTACATTCAATAAAGCTAATGAAGTTTATCATCTTGTCGACTTTCAAATAATTAAAGATAACTAATCCTCAACGAATAAACATTAAAATTCTAACAATGTCAACTACCATCTTATAGGATGAAACTGAGGACTGGGCAGAAAGATTCTCCTTCAAATTTGATTGATAAAGGTCTATCAGTCTATATCAAAGATTGAATTAATCAATGATATTTTGATTATAATTATACATGTTAAAATTCATTTACCTCTATGGACTTCTGTATGGGAAGTTTTGTAGATTATGAAATTATTGCTACTTCAAGTATTGTATGTAAGAAGGTTTGAAAGACAACACTCTAAATGCATTAAATATGGAAACTGCTAATCCTCATTGCCTTTCGTATCCAAACTGGTAGCTTTCATAGAATCATGTTTCGATGCTTCCCAACTAAAGAAAACAGGGAGTGGGGGGGGGGGGGGGGGGGGCTTGCTATCCTCTTATCTTATCCTCTGTACAAATATGATTATATGTTTATATTAGAAGGATTTAGAAAGTGAAATTTTGAATTATAGCATTACTGTTGGTAGAAGTAATGGCAGTGTCGGGAGGGGGGGGGGGGGGTTCCTGGTGAAATTTACGGTATGCCAATGTCAAATTAATAAAAAGAGAAAACTATTCTTAATAATAAAAATTATACAGTACATGGGCCTCCTAACAAAAACCCTGGTACCACTGTTGTGTTTTGAGTGTGTTTTTTTTTTTGGGGGGGGGGGGGGGGCTGGCAAACCAATTACAAATTTCCAGTGTTAAATTCAAATTTTTTCTTTAACAAAATTATGTCAATATATTGTAATTAAACAATGTTTCACTTTCCTTTTTTTCAAGTTAGATATTTGAATAAAATGATTAACATACTTTCCGGTTTCTCTGGCCTCTACATTAAAAATGTTCTACTTCTAGCAAAGCTCCTGGAAAGGCTGCAAAAATGGAGAGTGAAGAGAATGAAATTGAAATGTGGACAGTAATGGAGTGAATATGGAATGGTTGATGGTAGTTGATAACGAGTGAATGCAAATGAGTGGCAACAAGTACGACTGAAAGTGAGACAGAAAGGAATTGCAACAGGTTGCTCAGTCAAGAGAACAAACCTTGCAGAAGATAGTTTTCGAAAGACAGAGAAAGAGAGAAAAGGGGAATTATAAAAAAAGGAAAAGGGGGCATGTGTCAAAGGGGCATTTATGAGAAAGGGTTGGGGTTGGGGCTCGTATTAAACAGGGAAAGGGGCACATATCAAAAGGTAAAAGGGCACTTGTTAGATAGTTTAAGGGGACGCGTGTCAAATTAAAAAAATTGAAAGGGCTTTTATCAGATATCACAAGGGGCACTTATGAAAATGGAACAGTGGCACTTATTATGAAGTTATAGGGGCATTTGTTGAAGAAAAAGGGGCACCTGTCAGATTTGAATAGTGGGTAATTATCGCCAGGGCCGTAGCCAGAGTTTTTTTTTTTTTTGGGGGGGGGGGGGCACATACATGTAATTGATCGACGTCCTGGGGAGGGGTCAAAAAGAGTTCAACCGATCTTGGATTTTTTTTCTTCTTTTTTTTCTTCAATGTATGTGAAAGAATGTGTAGTTTTCTCTCGAGTTTGTCTCATCATGCGTGGGATCTGTGGGTGCTGGGGTTCCTGCAGCAACCCTGTACATGGATTTTCTTCAGTGGGTGCATATAACTCGTGGACTTCACATTGTAAACCTTCAAATGATGAATTATCATCGAGTCCCCCACCCCCCCCCCTTCCCTCATTATTTTAGAAAGAAACCAAAGAGAACTTTTAAGAGAAAAAGAGAAAGGAAAGGAAAAAATGGTAGCTAGGCCTAAACAAAAACAAGAGGCAAGATAAAAGAAAACAAGATTGAAGATATGGTATCAATATTATCTTGCTCCTTTCCCTTTTTCTTTTGTCATTTTTCATTTCAATTTTCTTGCAATTTATTTCTTTCTTCCTTGGTATCTATTCCGTATTCTTTATTTCTTCCATTCATTTATTATTTATATATATTTTACTTTTTAACTTTGTTATTCTTCTTTCTAATCCCATTTTTCTTTCTTCCTTTTCTTCCTTATGCAGTTAAGTGAGCATAGATCATAGAAATAATTTAAGTGCAATACACAAGTATTTTATTTTTGATAAATGTCTGTATGTAGGCCTATTCTTGTTATCTATTTTATACAGTTTATAATACTGTATCACATATTCAATACCATAATGCAACCTCTGCTTGTAATATTTAAAAAGCAAACCTAGAACTGATTATTTACCAATTCATGAAAAGAACTAGACTCCCATTAATCTCAGAAAAGTAGGCCTAGGCTACTCACAAATTGCCTATCAAGACTCTTACTTGAAATATATGCTATATATCTTGTCTACCGGTACTGACATTTTGGCATTTACTAGTAATTAAACACAGCATTTATGAGTGTATTATCTAAATGACCATGACATTGCTTTTCTATGTCATATTATAGGCCTGCCATTAATCCAACGTACTTGTTACACACGATATTCGATGCTGCGCATGCCTCGATCATACATGAATATTCAAGAGAATCGAGACTTTCCCCGGCCCTGCCTAATGAATATTCATGATAAAACAGGAATCCGGGCTCGCCGTGGTACGAAAAAATAAGACGCGGCCGGGCCCCCGGCCCCCCCCCCTGGATCCGCCACTGCAACACCATCAACTGGGATATTGAGTGATTGACGACTTCCCTTTGTGAGGATGCGTATTTCTTGATACCATCGTGAAGGATTACTTTTCTTAAGTTTCTGAATACGTGACCTGTAATATTTAACTTTTGCTTTCTGAATTGATGAATTTACTTTGTTTCTTAAACGTTTCCACAAAATTCCCTTACCCTGATGAAACGCAATTAATTTTGTCTCTTATGAATCAGAGATTTAATTTCACCTGTCATCCAGGGCTTATCTCTAAAGTGCAATAATACCTTACGAACTGGAAAATAAATGTTAATTGCATTATTTAAAGTACTATAAAAAGAACCACATCGAACATTTACATCAACATCTTGAGTCACTTCTGGCCAATCATAAGAAGATATCCACTGTCCAAACGCCCTTATTGCACTATCTGTCATGGGTCTGTTGAATACATAGCGAGTAGTATTTGGTAATTTAGGTTTGATTTTAAGAGGAAACCACATAATTGAATTGTGGTCAGACATTCCAATAGGAGAACAAATCTGTGGTTTATCATGAAACTGATGAATATTAGTGACAATTTTATCTAAAATGTGAGCCCCTCTAGTAGGGCAATCAACGACTTGACGAAATGACTGGGTTAAAAGCACCGGATCAATATTCATTCGATTAAAATCTCCCAATATTACAAAACCTGCATCCGTATGATTAGTTAAAATAATATATATATATATATATAGCTGACATGAGAAATACAAAAAGGATTGATTATAGTGGAGGTGACGGATTAGCAAAAGCAATCGGACAGTCAAGGCTAATCCCAATTTTAGTACACTTAAAATTAGTAGATTAAAATAATTAAAAGTGAGTAAATTATATCATAGTACTGTACATGCATATCAATTGAAGGTGAGAGTAGAACACATGACATCAGAGAGAAAGAGAATATGACATATTAATAACCTTAATTGTTTTTAAATACTTGTTAAAATGAATCAAAACCTTCGTGTAATAATATTGTAGAAATACTTACAACACACTCACCCACACACACACGTACACACACACACCATCAGACCATCCAAGGTGGACATGAAAGACTGGGCGAAATATCTTGAATTTGTAAGAAGGGTATTGAATTAAGTGAAAGTTTGACAAAATCTAGTGATGATCCGAAAATTATAGTTGACGGTCGAAAATATAAGTTCCCTTGTGGGAACTGTGATAAGCCAGTCAAATGTAATCAACACGGCCTTCTGTGTTCTTATTGTAAAAAATGGTTTCACACTAATTGTCAAGCTATCAGTTTTTCAGAGTACCGCAGGTTATATTATGAATGCCCTGATGAGAAGTGGAATTGTTTAACATGTTGTCTGCCATCTTTTTGTGACTCATTATTTAACGACGATTGTTTAGAGAAAGAAAGCCAAAACGAGGATAGACTAAAAGAAAACTATTTTAAGATAACGCGCGTTACACCTGAAAAGCAAGCGATAGCAAGAGTAATTCAGCCAAACCTCAGAGATGAAAACACTTCTCTTTATCAAGAATTTGAAGAAAAGTTTAAAGTTAAAGGTCTTCATTTTTTACACCTTAATGTGAGGTCTATTCTAAACAAGATATCGGAACTTAGAATTCTTTTTAAAAGAAAAAGGCTGTCTATTATTGCTTTCACTGAAACATGGTTAAACAATTCCATAAATGATGAAGAAATTGAAATAGACGGATATAAAATCATACGCCATGATCGATCCTCTGGCTCTGGAGGTGGTGTATGTTTCTATATCAGAAATGATATTGCATTTAATATTATGGATGCTATAAGTACTGGAGATACGGAATCCCTGTGGATAAATTTGCTTATACCAAGATCAAAACCAATTGTTGTTGGTGTTCTGTATCGACCTCCGAAAAACAATTTGTTTATCGAGAAATTGTCCAATATTCTTGATACATTAAAGAAGGATGACGAAATAATTCTTTTAGGAGACATGAATATTTGTCTTCTTCGCAAATCGCCACTGGCTAAAAAATATATTGACTTGTTGAGTCTTCATGGGTTTAGTCAACTCATTAAAGAGGCAACACGCGTTACACCTACATGTTCTTCTCTATTGGATCATGTTGGTTGTACCAAAGAAAATAAAATAAGTCAAAGTGGTGTCATTGATCTAGGTATTAGCGACCATTAT